GGGGTGTCCATCTACACAATAAAATCCATCTTTTTGACATACAATATCTTCTTTTTTCTTATGTAAGTCTTCACTTGATGCTTTGAGTATAACAAGTGTGATTAAAACAAAGAAACCCATCAATCTCTTTGCTCGCCAAGTTCAGACTTTATAAGGGCTTTTTCATATCTCCGCTCGGAGTCTAATATTCTCTCTTTGTTTTGTAAACAAATTCCATATAAATAGTTTATATTTACCAGAAAATAAATCTACGGTTTTATTTTGATATAACATTTGTAAAAACATTAAAATGGGTTTGGAGTTTCCCCGTCACTAGATGACACCAACAAAGGTTTTTCAAATAATGTAACAAAACAGCAAATCAATTATCGAAATTAAAAACTAAGTGCTTGGAGATGAGATCAGACTCTGAAGAATTCAGTGAATTTTTAGATGAGTCCATTGGTGTTTCTTTTGAAGATTGTGATTCTTTCAAAGACTTATTCCAGTACTCTCTGAGTTGTGCCAGAGTTGGTGGTGCTGACTCGTAGAACTTGTTGAGTCTATTTTTAAATCCAGACTTCTTCTTTTCGAATCCCGTGAGTGACATAAACAATTTTCTTTCTGTGTTGCCGAGGATGATATTAGTTGAAGGTAGTGATGATATATCATTTTCTTGGGACGATGCCAATGAAGAAGTTTTATTGACCATATCTATTCTGCTTGATGGTTGTATATTCTTATTTGTATTAATCAGTGGTGCATTTACACAAGAATTGGTCACAACGACTTTTCTATTATTTTGCCTCTTTTGAAGTGCTTCTATTTGATTTTGTAGTGGAGTTTCCTCCGACTTCTTGACAAACTTTGGTTCAGGAAGCTTTACTTTCTGTTCGACCTTCTGTTCGCATTTGTCAGGTATATACTTCTTTTCAATTATGACTTTATTTTCACTGGTATCATTAACACTCTCTTTTGTCTCCTTATCTTTTTCAAAAGATTCGATTGTAAATGGATGAAGTGTGTTAGACAGACTCGAGTCCAATTGTTCTAACGTCTTTGTAATGTCCTCTTCTTTATCTTCTTCTTGGACATCGAACATATACAACATCATTTGTCCACAGATACCCTGGAACTGATCAAAGAACGCTTGAAGAGAGTAATTGAATGTATCGAAATAGAATGGGTCTTTGAAAACAGGGTCGGTGTACCCGTACAACTTCACCTTCATCCCATCATCTCCCATAAAAATAGAACCTCCTCTGTTGGTTCCATTATATCCAGCAGATGAAAATACAGTAAACATAATTGGAATGTGGTCATCACTTTCAAAGTCGTATTGTTGAACACCATCTACACACTCGTGTGCTCTTATTAGTGCTCGCAAGTCGTTGTTTTCAAGAAAAGTGACGATGGCCTCATATCCATAGAAGTAAGAGCAGTCTCTACTGTCATTGTGTAAGTACGTCACATCGAACCAATCATCATTTATTTCACCATTCTCATACTTCTCGTCATAGGTCTCATACATTAACGGGTCACTCCATAACATATCACTGAACACACCAATCTCTGGAATTTCTCTAAATCTATCAATCAATTTGATTTGGTTCACCGAGTGAAGTGACGGCGACAGGCCTCCATGACACAAGAAGAAATTTCCAAGAGGGAGACTCAAATAGACACAAAGTGGTAATGTTCTGAAAAGTTCGATAAATTTGTTGTAGACCCCACTGTCGTATTTCCACGTGCACTCTCTTTCAAACCCAAAAATGTGTGTCATTGCAGCAGACTCGTGGTTTCCTCGTAGTAAAATAACACTATACAGTCAGTTGAATATATTGAATAGAATGCTATAAATAAATATAACATTTTCTAGATTTGTATAGTAATTTATACTATACTGATGTTCTAAAAAAAGAACCAAAGACAGCAAACCCTTCTGGTGAATTGATTTTAAGACACAACAAAGTGATCATTGTTTCCGTCGAGTACTTTCCTCTGTCAACATAATCACCAAGAAACACCTTTACATGTGACAAATTTACCCATTGTGCATCATTCAAAATATTTAAAAAGTTGAAATAATTGCCATGGATATCGCCAAATATAAGAGCATTCTCTTCGACTTCAACCATGTTTGGTTCTTTTATTAGTAGCATCTTTGCTTCATCAATTATTGTTATAACAGTTTCTTTTTCTATCAACCCACCATGTTGGAAATGTTCTTGAAGAATATCTGTATTGTAACGACCGTCTTTAAAGAAGTCACGCCGTGTCAGAAGCCCACCTTTCATCTTTGTATATGTTCATCAAAGTTCGCACCCTGAGAAATTAAAAAAAGAAACTTTCAACAACACTTATTTATGAAATAGTTTTTTTTATACTTCTATATTATAAGACTGAGCATTTTTTTTTGTTTTGCAACAAGAAGTTTTGCAAAAGTTCTCTAGTTTTTCTACACTTTTATTGTTGGTTTTTGATTTATTATGTGACAGTTTAAATAGTAAAATAATTTATATTTATATACTATATTATTATAATAATTTTAGTATAGTATATTTATATTTAATTATATAATAAAAACAAATTAATTAAATTATTTCTATAATCAAAATTATAAATAAATTATCTAGGAAGCTTTTATTAAGTTATAAAAGTACTATAAAAAAATAAAAAAAACAGATCAATTTAAAAAAAGGTTCAAAACTTTAAAGGAATTCCAAATTTTCTATATTGAGTGTCGATTCTTGAATGCTAAAATATTTTGCACTTATAATTTTGAACTTCCGTATTTTCACCACACTCAATGAAATGGAATTGACATTTCCAACACTTAAATCATTCAAACAAACACCACTTATTGAAACATCCTTGACATCTCCAAGTTTTACTGGATTATCAAATTCTAGTAACTCTTCCTGGTCGTTATAAATAGTGAACTCATTTAATGGTATTTGTGTTAGATCAATAAGAGAGCCAGGAATATCAATTTGTAATTTAAGAGGATATTCCATTTCAAAGACACCAACACTAAAACTTGTAATTACTTTGCCACCCTTTTCTAAAACAAATTCATGAGGAGTTGAGTAGTTTTGAACTATATACGTCTTGACGATGTCCAAGTTGACGACATATTTGTGTCCGATGATTTGATTTTTATGTTTAAATTGAATAGTATCTAAAGAATCGATCCAAAGCTCTTTTATATTGTCATCATTAATACAAGACATGTCCGCCTTACAATAAAAAATATTTAAAACACTTGGACGACAGTTAGCCATTTCTATTGTCGTGTCTTTGTTCACATGCTGGATAAAAATATTTCTTGCCCTATTTGGAACAGTTATTACGCAATGGTGGACATTTTTAATTTCAATTTCGCTTATTGTTTCACATTGACTTAAATCAAGGGTGTTGATTTGTCTGTCTGCATAATCATTAACTTCTGTGTATTTGTGTTTGCCAAATGAAGCAACTCGCACTTTGTTAGTCAAACACTTTTGTAGTATATCCGTCACATAGTCCACATGATTTCCAACGTCTTTCATAATTTTGATTCCGCAGTCTAGTTGTGTCACAACACATTTTGTCAGAGGTACAAAATCGATGTTCTGTTCGATTGTATTTTTAGAAATATACGTGGTGTACACTTTGACGTTTTCAGGAAGTTGTGTAAAATTTATGTAATTTGGTTCTTTAACAATTTTTTGTGAAGCTATCACTATAAGCTTGTAATTCGTTTGCATGTGTTCACTAAAGTTGACTCTCTTTATCAATTCCAATGCGTTGGTACATGTGAGTATTAAAACTACTGTTTTCAACGTCTTGTGTTTTGCGATACGACTCATTACCTCGGCACTATCAATTTTGTTGTTGTGCTCAATAACTGTAATTGAAGTGAGTTGTTTACATGCTTCTAAATTAAAATTTCTTGCTTTGATCTGTTCCACATTCACACGCAACTTTCTTATTTTCTGAAAAATGTTTCTGATGTTGAAAAGTGGGTGTTTCTCTATTTTTTTTCCTTTTGTATTTTCGTAGTATCCATCCAAGTTCAAATCAATGATTGGAAATTTTTCCAATTGCGACTTTAAATCGTCGTTATTCAAATTTGAAGAGTTTCCACTGTATAAATACAAAGTTTGGAGTGCTGGGAAGAGTTGGAGTACTTCCTGGATTGAGCATTTTGTTGTCAGCTTGTAAGGATTAATGTACATAGTGTTGATAGCTTCTGTCATTGTTTTATTGACTAAGATCAAGTTAATTACATCTTCTTTGGTTTCGAGATACAACACGACGTTTTTAATAAACACCTGTTCAAGTATCTTCATTGATGTTTGTTGTATACAGATACGTCTTTAAAAAGACGAATAAAAGTCATTGACAAACCCTTGATAAGTAACACAAATGACAAACAAGTTATTAAATTAACAATGCTTTTAAACCTCATTACGCGAAGTTGCCATTAAAAAAGGTGTGATATCTTGCAAGTGTCATTTTTATCTCGTCGTACGTCTGATTCTTTGTCATTTGCGAAACAGTCATCAATTGACAGTGGTTGACCTTATACCCTGTATTCACGCTTGGATCATTGTTATACCTCTCTGTATACTCTTTCGCTGTTTTCAAAGACAGCGCCTGTCCTTTTTCATCAGGGGGGGTGTTGTCTATATACTCACAAATGTTGTTTAACTCCTCTTTCAATTTCTCTTCCTTCACGTAGTTCCCGTATTGAATCAAATCCTCCACCGACGGCAATCCCTCTTCTTCCCAGAAGTTGGTGTCGGTTTCCCAAGACCCACTCGAATCGTCCGAATCAAAAACGTTTCCATACAGTTGTGATATGTAATTCTCGACAATCATTTCTCGCATCTCCGGTTTTGCCTTTTCGATTTGTTCGATGATATCTTGTGGTGTGTCCGATGGTAAAAGCTTGATGATGTTTTTCATTTTTTCTTCTTCGAGTTGAAGGCTTTTGCTCCGAGGTAAAAAGGGTGCTGCCTTAAAGTTGAAATTCCGTGTTTCCATCACCTTTTAATTTTTCAGTCGTTTCGCTAGAAATTCGAAGCCTAAAAACTTCATCTTTTATTTCTAATATTTTTATTATTTCAAATGGTTTACATCAAAAAGCTATATATATTAATTCTTTATTATAAATTCAACTACACACATTTGATAGTAAAAAAATAATAATAAAATAACCATACTTTAGTTTTAAAATTAATTAAAGTAAATTATAATTTGATAGTTAATAATTTTTAATTTTAATAATTTAAAATTAAAAGCGAAATGTCTATACTATATATTACTATTAATATATTATAAACAAATAGGAAAACCAAAGTGTGCAAAAAACAAGACTTGTTGAGATAAAAACAGTATCAGAATTCGTCCTCAAAGAAGAACTCTTCGTCGTCGTCGAAATGATTTACAGATGGAGTGCTTTTACACAGACGGGGGTCAGCAGTTTGAACAAAAACAGAGTCTGAGTTATCCGAGTCAACAACAGGAACACTACTTAAAACCAAAGAGATTGGGTTGGTGCCTCTTGGTGGAATAATGACGTCATGGACAGACCAATTAGTGTCATTAAAAGTACCAATTCTGTCATTCGAAGTGGCTTCGTTGTCGTCTGACATGTCGAATTGGTAGTCGTCCTCATCGTTCTCCAGAACGTAATCACTAGGCGTTAACTATATTAAACATTTATTTTTAGTCGAAGGAGAAAACCCTCTTTCGGACGCCGAAACAAACTTGTAACAATCAAGCAAGTGAAGTGCGGTGGGTTGAATTACGTTCATCGAGGAGAAATGAATCTTGTTGTTCAGTGTTTTTATAGTGCAAAGGTCTCCAAACCCTGTTATTCACGTTTGGTTTTTTTATGGTTCTTTTACTATATATTCATTGTTTCTTTTTTAAAGTATCGAATGTTCTTTGAAGTTTTCACGGCATTGTCTGGCCGTCAAGCGGGGCTTTTGGATGGAAATTCTTAAACATCAAAAGAAGAGTCCATCGAATTTTCTGGGCTTTCTGCAAACTTCGTGCAACAAAGAATATTTTTAAAATCGGAATTTTTCTCGGTTTGTGTTTGAGGTCTGATCTTGGTTTAAAGATTTTTTGTAGATGAGGCAAACAAAAGACACTTTAACACTTATTATGTGTAAAATGAATAATATAAATGTTAGGCAAATTTTATTAAAATTAAGGTGTTTTTGTCAGTATTTTTTTATGGTAAACAAATATAAGAAAACAATGTGTTTTTTTAACATATTGCACTTTAGGCAAAACTAATTTAACTGATAAAAAGCTTAACAGATATCATTTTTTTAGTTTGATTTCCTTAAAATAATGAGGTTATTAAATCTTCTTGATTATCTAAAGTTATTACCGCCGAAAACTTGACAAATTATTATGACAAATGATTGACCAAATTGTTTTAACTAAACATTATTAAAATGTTTCATTTTACATACATTTATTGAATATTTCTGATTTTTAATTACCAGATCAAATTTGAAGTTTAACAAAACTAAAGGTGTTTTATTTAAAATTTGGGGAATAATTAAAATACAAATCGTTTATATAATAAAATAAACCATTGGTTTACTAATTTAGTATTGTTTTACTGTCTTTTTTTTTTATTTGAAATAATAATTAAAATTAAAATTATATCAAAACTTTTAATCAATTTTATAACCAAAAATAACAATTATTATTTATTAATATTATTATTATATATTTTAGTACATTTTTAGTTTATTTCCTAATATATAATAATTTCTTAAATAGCTGAAAACTGTAAAAAATTTATCATAATATGTATAACAAATAAAATTGTAATAATTTGTTATTATCAAATAATTATTTATTAATTATAAATAAATATTAATTTAAATTATTGGTTCATAGTTTATCATTTTATAACAAAAATTATTATTATCTATTATATAAGTTTAATTAATAAAAAACCAAATAATATTATTTCTTTTAAATTATTTTATTTAATTTTTTTTCCAAATTACATTATGGGAATGATTTTAAATCAAAATTGTTGGTTTTTTGAGTTTGATTATTTTAGTTTTTAAATCAAAAGGTGTCAAATTGTAACTTTTTTTTAAAAAATACAATCTATAAATATGATCATAAAAAAACTTTCGATTTACATAAAGCAATTTTTAGCTTAAAATATTAAAATTATTAATCAAATTTTTGTTTAATTCAATTGATCATCGTAATTCTACTTCCGTTGTCGTTTTAAAAACATTAATTTTCACGAAATGAATTTATTTCAACAACCAAATTTTCAAAAGACAACGAAAAAGAACTATTTATTTAAAGGTTTGAAAAAGAAGATGCACTACCTTCCACTGCGGCACGTAACTCCCAATTTAGAAGATAATGATCCAATACCACGACGAGCACAAACGATGCAAACTGCTCAAAGTGAATTGGGTATCATTTATATTACACTTTTAAGTAGCTTTTCGACTGTAATAATTGGTAAGCCTCGTCATTTAGCAACAAAGACACTTCAATTTATGCGTGTCAAAGAAATTGTATTTGAAAAGGATACCCTTAATATTTTAGATTATGTTGCAATGCGAAAAAAAGACAAAATCAATTACCTTCTCAAAACTGGTCTGTCTCAAAAAACAGCAAATAGGCGATTTAGTTTCGAAAAAAGACAAGAGATCATGCATTATCTTGAAGACGTTCTCTTCTTATATCACTTTGATACTAAATTGGAAATAGACGAGGCTGATGGAATCGAAGGTAAATTGTCAATTCACAAAAACAATAAACTTATTGTTGATGATCAAACAATCAAATTGCAATCCACAAAAGCTCGAGAATACATTCTAAACAAACTGGGTAATAAGGGAGAAGTTTCTTTGGATTCAAATTTGTATCATACTGTCTTTGGTAAATAATTTAATGCTTTTCTTTATAATTTGATATTGAAGAAAAAACAAAAAAAATATACCTTTTTCGCTTATTTATTAATCTTTTGTTGTTATAAATTGTTCGATTATTTTTCTTTACGTCAAACAAATTATTTCAACAAAAGATACATTTTTATAGCTTTTACCCTAATTTTGGGGTATAAAAGTTTGTTTATTTTTATTTAATTTGAATTTTTGAACAAAAATAGTTAAATAAATACTCGACAAAAATATCTAAAAATAGATTTCAGCTTTTTGATTTTTTGACAATTTGAACTAATAATTATACTTTTAAATCAATATAATTAAAACTATAATTAATTTAAAAAAATTATAATAATAAACCCAAAATATTGTTCAAAAATGTTTTAGAATTTTTTTTTTGTTATGTTTTTTATTTTAAACACAAAAAACATTTATTAGAAACTATATATAATTTTAATTAATTATTACTATATTTTTATTATTGAATTGTCAAGACAAATTTAGTATATTAAAATAAATAGAACAATATAGTTCACTATTCGAATACGTTGAAATATAATAATATATTATTAGATAAACTATGTAAAAGAGAAAAACATACACCAAAAAACTAATACATTAAAGGATTAAAAGAATCCAGACATGAGAGCAGATGCGTAGTCGAAAGTCATAGAAAGTGGTCCACCGCCAACAAACTCTGCGAGTACTGCCGATGAACTATTTATTAATTCATTTCAAAAAAACTCATTTTACCTTTTATGATACAAAGAAAATTCATCAGAACAAACAGTGGTGGTTTGACTCTCGACAACAGTGTTGTCAGTTGTGTTTGGTTAAATGCTTTTACGCCAATTGCTTCCAAGTCTGCCTTGAGAGTCTTCGTTGGTTTTGTCGCCGCTGTCACAACAGTGTCGAAGTCTTTGAGGACTTTGACGCTTCTCATGTGTTCCAAAGTGACGACGACTTCCTTTGCTATGAGTGATGTGAAGAGTTCAGTTTTTTCCCAAATAGTCGCTAACAAGTCGCGTGTTATTTCCATTTGCTCTTGGATGATGTAATTGAACAGATTTTTCGATGAAATGTCGATGACAAAAGTCGCCATCTTCATCACAAAGTCGTCACTCATTTTGAATTTCCTCATGTTATTAACAAGTAAACAAATCTTTTCGAAGTTGTACCTCAGTGTTATTCTCTTCAAACCATTCCAAAAGGCAACCAACAAACTTTGTTTCTTTGTCGACAAAGAACTTGTAATACTCTTTGTTCGTGTCGCACACCATTTCGACTACCCATCCCGCGATAAGTGCTCGTTGTGGTACCAAAGAGCTCTCATAAGGTATGAGTTTGTTTTCTAGCCCAATGATTCCTTTGAACTTTCTGATGTGCTCGATGACACTCGAGACCGTTGCGATCCAATACACGCATTGTTCCAAAGAAGTTTTATTACTGATCGACAACGAGTAAATTGCATTAATGATATGGGACAAGAAGTCATTGTTCTTATCGTCCAACAAAAAGTCTTTTGTGAGTACGTGGCAGATTCTTGCTGCGGTGACAGTGACATCATTTTCTGTTGTCAGTCGAATAGAGAAGAATGTTTCCATGATGAATGATGACGCTTTTATGAATTGAGTGTGTTCGAGTTCGATATTTGTTCTCTCCAGAAACTTGACTCTCTCCTCCAAAAATTCAATGCGCTTGTCTTTGTCATCGACTGTCTTAATCTCTTCCTCCATTTTCATTTTATTTAATTCCCGTGGAGAAAGCGTCACGGCATTCTGCGCGAAGTTGACATTAATGTGTTTCCGTTTGGGTTCGCGGAGACTTAAAATATCGGCGTTCTTGGTCTCGACACACTTTGTACTTATCAAACTTTCAGAGTGCATTCCTGATGGTGTGGAGTCTTTGCCGTAAATTGAAAGTGGGGAACCAACCTCCACAGGAGTTTCCTTATCAAAAGGGGAAGCTTTTTTACAAAATGAAGCTGCTCTTCTTTTTCTGCCACTGTATTGGTTGAATGACAAATGTTTTGAAGGTGCAATTTCTATTGAAATTTTGTCGGACTTTGGACTCTCTTGTAAATTTTGTTCGACAGACACTGAATCTGTCGAATCACTTTGTTTTAAAGAAACAGAGAAAGTGATTTTACCCGTGAGCTCCTCGAAGGGTAACGTGAACTCACTTTCCTTATAATTTTCAGGGATTGTAGTCTTCTTCAGTAACTTCACTAGTGTTGTTTTCAGTGTACGTAACTCAGTGGGCTTTGCTGTGGTTGACATCAATGAAATTTGGATTTTGACATCTTTGTACTCTTGGTTCTTTTGTTCAATCAAGAGAGGAACTGTGAAAGACTCATTGAACAATGCACACCCTTTGGACACTTCAACCTTCTTAAAAGTACCTTCAGATTTGTTATATTTCCATCTCAAGGAAACGATATTTTGCTGGAACATCGGAATGTCAGAAACGCTGTTCACTAATATAAAAACATGTTGCCCACTCGGCTCGTATTTCTTGAACATCTCGTTATTGAGGATTGGCAGTTCACTTTGGTGTTTTGTATTTTTTATTTTTTGATATCAAATTCAATACGAGTTTTACTATATTGTGTTATTAAGTAATTAATAATGTACTAATAAGTAGATGTCCTACCAATTCGAACTTCACAGTATTCATTTTCTTGCCCGTTATTTAAAGGAAATTAAGACATTTTGGGCACTTCTTGACAACAAAAAATAAACAAAAACTGTTTTTCTGTTGTAGACAATTATTAAAAAAATATCATAATACTTAATAAGTTATTTTATTTTAAAAAAAAACGATTGTTTTATTAGATTTTATAACACAATAATAAGTTTGTTTTTATATCAATTTTTTATTTTTTTGGTCAACATTACTTATTGAATTGGGTAAAAAAATAATTGGAAAACTGTGTTTTTTGTTTTTTTTAAAGAAAAGGAATTAGATTTGCCAATTAATAATAGAAACCATTCGACACTAACACTTTTTATAAAGAAAAATTCATAATAAATTGGGATGTGTTACATAATTCCAATTTAATTATTTATTATAATATATTTAATTAATAATAAAATAATACTGAAGTTGATAAAATCTTTTATTATAAATATAATGAATGATGTTAACTAAAAAAATAAAAGAACAGATAGTTCTGGTATTGTCTTTAATTAGAATGATATAATTTAAATAAATATTTTAATAAAAATAGTTTATTTATTTTATTATTTTGTTCAATTGTTTGATTATTAGTTTAATAATAAAAAATAAATATAACATATAGTTATAATAGTAATTGATAAGTGATACCAAATATGAATGACGATATTACTCTAAATTCAATGAACGTCTCGGCGCAACCTACACCAACAATAACTAAACAACATATTGAAGAGTTAATGTCACAAGTTTCAACAGAGTTGTCAGACTCACTTCACATGATGACAAAAACACTGAAAGAATCTCCTCTACAAACACCATCCAATCTCGAAGTGAGTTTAGCCAAAACATTAAACGAGAAAATTGATGGTTTGACGCAGATGCTTCAAACAATTCCAACGATCCCACAGTCTCCTAAAGTACAACTTAAGCCAATTCCATCGATTGGCACTGACCAAGAAATTGACGCTTTTGTTCAACTTTGTCTCGAACAGTTGACATTAATGCGTGTAATCAACCAAAACATCTTCGACGCTTATAAGAAGATGCAGTCGATTGTAGCGAAGCGCGAGAGTTGCGAGAAGATGATGCAATCATATATTAACTCTACGCAGTCGATGCAGAACTGGTTATCAAAGCAATGAGGACATGTAAAGCAACAGAGACATAACAAATGATATACTTATTTTATGTTCAACTCCTTTCGCAGTTCTTCATTCTTCCTGACAAGTTCCTTATACTCTCTAAGCAACTCCACCTTGTCCAACTCGTTCAGCGTTTCGATGTCTTTCATCCTCTCAAACTTCGCGTACCCATCCTCCCGCTTCTGATCAAACAGATTCCCCACTTCCTTCTTCTCGACTTTGATCTTTTGAATGGCGTCTTCGTAGATCTTTTCATCAATAGTAAGCTGCTTCCCAGTCACTTGCAACAAGAACGAAATTGCTCCAAAGAGGTTAGTCAAGTAGTACGAGTACTCTCCGTTAGGGTCACACCGATCAGAGAACGCAGACAAGTATGAGTAGGTACTCGACAAGTGTGGTAAATTAGCTCGTATCACGATGTATATAAATGACGGTAAGAGGACATCTGCAGTCACCGAGTCACCGGGGGGTAACAATGAAAATGTGAGTGCCTGAAGTGCTTTAAATGCGTTTCCAAGCTGCACCAACTTCTGTGATGGGGTCTTAAAGTTGTTCATCTTCCTCAAAATGCCGATGACTTGTCTCGACCCAACCCGTCCAATTTCTTCGTCTAAGAATCCGACGTCGAGATGGACGGCTCGAATGAATTGATGATCTTCAATTGTGTTTGACAGTTTATTGTCATCAACCAACTCTTTAGTGTCTATTCTATCCCCATACGCTGGTGGCCATATAAACTCGAACAAGAGGGATGTTGTAATGTTCTCGACGACTTTTCTGACTGCCAAATTGTCATAATTTTTGTCTTTGAAACTTTGTGGGAGTTTGTTAACCATTTGGTTAACTACTCGCTTCAATAATTTGGCTCGCTCTTCACAACTCTTTCCTTTAACTAACTCCGGAAATTGCGACTTAGTCGCGGAGATGTATTGGACCATCACAGGGTCACTCATCGCTTGTGATACGGAACTTTCTAATTCGCCTTGTTCCTCTTCGACATTGGAATAGATCCACACTAAATTCTCCGTTTGGAAGATCTTCTTAAGTCGCTCTTTCTCGCGCTCTTCCGCTTTTTTACGTGACGTCAAGTCTTTTGGGATCTTCACTGAATTTCTCGAATAAGTGCGTGTGACTCGCTGGATAGTTTCTTCGTTGGAGACATTCACATCAATTTCGGGAATACACAAAGGACAGTACGTCTTCACCTTCCATTCGTTTTGAACATTTTCGTTAATGAATCCCCACATGCATCCTTCAAATCTGAGTGTCTGTGATATGAACAAGATCGGGATGTTCCCAAAGGGTATTTCGAAAATCGACCCTTCAATGAACGACGATCCCCCATCACTTCTGAAATTCTTTGAGCTTTTTCTGAGCAAATTGAACGACTCTCTGTCGCTCAAAATTTCAGGGTGAATAACGGTAGGAAATGGAATCAATTGTTCTGTATACGGTGACAATCCCTCAGACTCTATTGTCCCATATATCCCATTGAGCGACACAAAGTCCTTTCCCCCCTGTTTTCTCACAATCATATGTGTTGACAAAAACTCAATAGACAGTTCGGGGGGGTTTAATGGCACCACCAACGTCAGTCCATACTTAATGCAATATAAGAGTGCCTGGATACCCAATGGTGATCCCAATATCTGCCGAAAAAAAGGGTTATTTGAGACTTGAGGTACGGGTGTAATTTTTGAAGGGGATGTGTAATTGAATCCGTGACTGCGACAAAACTCGCTGATGATATTCGGAAAGTAGACTCGTATTTTCTCCGTGTCTTCTTTCTCGTTGATGTCTTTCCACCTCTGATTCCCGTTTGCGTCGATCACGCTCTTCATATGGTTTTGCTTGTTTATTTCAAGTCTCTTCGATTTTTTCTTGGCTTTAAAAAAAAGGGGTTTCTAAAATAGAACTCTTTATTTCTGGAAAAATCTTTGTCTCTACAACACTCAAATTAATACAAAGTCCGTTGGTATTGGTATTAATTGAAGTAACCATATTAAATAGAATTAAATTAATAAATAGAGTCAGTGAATAACATCATAGATGAATGGGTCCCGCCCAAAGTTCTCCTCAAACCCAATCCAGTTGTTTGTCTGAAGGGCAACATACCACTTCGAAAAGGTGACTTGGACTTTCATGATGACTCTCCCGTTGAACGTGAAATACACCAATTTGTTGTCGGGGTCGGTGCCCACACCAATGACATCACCAACACCCCAGACACGCGTCGCTTTCTTTTTCTGGCCATTTGGCCATGAGAAGTACCCATCGCTCGTCATCCCAAGACTCTCCTTTTCTTTCCCAATACAACACTTGTTTGTGTAATTCGGGTTATCTACAAGGCCAAAACTGATGAGTTTTTGGAAGGGAGTGTTGAGAGTGATTTCACAATAGTTCTTTGGTGTGTAACTGACCTTCACAAACTCGGAGGTCTTATAAACTTTAACTGTTGAGTATGAGTCCCACTGCTGATTTGATACATAGACTCCATTCTCGTTTGTGGCGAAATTGGTTTTGATGATTGGAAATGCGACAAAGGTCTCGTAGCTTTGTTTCCAAGTAGTCCCGTCGTCTTTCTTGACTGGAAGTTCTGTTTGAAGACAGTCTTTAAGTTTTGTTTCGTAAAGAGCTTCCAGTGTTGTTTCGTCATTTTTCGACGGTAAGATTAAGGCTTTTTCAATTTTCTCCACTTTCTCAAGTGCTTTGACTTTTTCAATTTTTGTAGGTGTTTTGACTTCTTGAGGAACTTTTGAGTTTTTCAGCTCCAAAAGTTCGGTTTTCAGATTTTTGATTTCACTTTCCAAACTTTCTATTTTAATGTCGCGAAGTGCCAACTCGTTCTGGAAAGAAATCTGCTGTTTCTGGATAAAACCGATGATTGCGCTGACTTGTGCAGACAATGTGCTGAGATTAGAATCACTCATTCTGACTAATAAAGTTATTACTCTGCTTTTTAATGAGTGTTTGACGTCAATCTTCTCTTTATTTTATTTTTTGAAGGAATTGACTGTCTAAAAAATTCATTTTCTCTTTTAAAAATGTCACACAAGTTTTTTATTGTTTTACGCCGTTTTGTTGAGTTTTTTCAGGAAAAAAAAGTCAAATAAATTATTTGAAGTTTTTATTTGGTTTTATTTAATTATTATTACTTTATTATTTTAATTAATAATATACCATTTTTTGAATAAATAACAAATTTGTTTTTCTTTAACTCAAATAATTGAAATAACAATACATTACAAAGACACCACTCTTTAAATTTTACAGGATATCGGCTGTAATAGCTGATTGAAAGGAAGTATCATCTATCTATTACAAATCATATTTACTCTTGTGTTTTTCCAAATTTTAACATCTAAAAGAATACTTTACAATAATAGAAACCATTTAATCTAACATATAAATTAAAAATTAATTTAATTAATTAATAATTATAACAATTATAATTTAATTTATCAACTCAATAATATCAATTGATGGATTTTGCAAAGGACTTTTTGAGTAAATTAGTTTCTTTTGACACTTCATCGTCCTCTCAAGACAACGAGGAGTCGACGCTATTTTACAAAAAGTTTTTGGAAGAGGAGATTGGGATGACAGTAAAGGTGTTTCCATACACCCCAAATTCAAAGAAGTCCAATTTGCTCGCTTACTGGTCCGACACCTTCACAACAGTTCTTTGTGGTCATTTCGATACAGTGAACGCAGACAAGACAAAGTGGTCGACCGATCCATACACTGTCACATTCACAGAAGAGTCTGGGAAGATAAAAGCAACAGGACTTGGTACAACAGACATGAAAGGAGGAAACGTTTCTGCCTTTCTTACGTTAAAGAAGCTAAAAGAGCAGAACAAGAAGTTGGACTCTTTAGCTGTTTTCTTCTCATGTGAGGAGGAAATAGCGGTTCGTGGTGCCAAAGACATCACGGCAAAGAACAAAAGTCTTTTCGAGAATGTGAGTACTTACATCATATTAGAACCAACTAACCTTTCCTTAGGCTCAAGTCAGTTCGGGCATTTTTGGATGAAGTTCACTTGTACCGGCAAAAGTGCTCATGCTTCCGAACCCGAGCGTGGTATCAATGCTATAGAAGGTATAACGGATTTGAATTATGTCCTCAAAGAAGCAATTCATGGGCCAGAACTTGATGGATATGTGACTTTGAATATAGGAAAGGTTTGGTAATTTATAATATATTTTATTATATATTTATTATAATATATTTATTAACACGTTAGATACAAGGAGGCACTCAAATGAATATCGTTCCAGACTATTGTGAGGAATACGTCGATTATAGATTCGCACCAAACGTTTTCGCTCCAGACATGAAAGAGATGTTCCAGCATGTCATTGAACAAATGAATGAGATTTCATACGCCCAGTACTCGTATGAATATATCAGTGAAATGCGTAGTGTACAATGTCGCATCACCAATCAACTCTACATCGCAATGAAAGATCTTTTGAGTACAAAGTATGTTCTAAATGAAATCCCAATGAAGTATGGAAGTGACGGCGCTGTGTTCAAAACTAATTTCCCATCAGCAGATGTCATTATCTTTGGCCCGGGATTGATGGGTTGCATGCATCAACCAAACGAGTTTGTCTTCATTGAAGACATTGTGACTGCAAGTGATATACTTTACTCGGTCCTTACTAATTAAATTAATAATTAAATTAATAACGGATTTAATTACTTGACCAACTCAACCAAAGAAGTCCTATAGTCATAATCGAGTCCCGCAAACGCTAAATTGAACACATCGGGATATTTTGTCTTACAGAAATTAATAAATGCCTTAAGTTTCTCAAGGACGTCATTTCTCAGTGTTTCAGATGAATGGTATTCCGCATACGACACGATGTCCAACACCTTTTTCATATTCACAACGTTTTCAACAGAAAGTATTTTTCTAAATGTGAGTCGCATTTAACATTACAAAAATATGGTAATAGTAATTAATTACTATAATTACTAAATATTAATAATACAATAACAAACTTTTCAACCATTTCGAGTAACGTGTATGTCCCCTCACTATAAAAATTGATAAGAGGCATAACAGACAACCAATTGTCGACATCCTTTTCACTAAACAACTCGGGCGTACTTGTAATGCATCTGCCATACACCAAAACAGCTGCTTGTTTTGTTAATGATTGTTTTTGCAATGTAAAGTACGGTTTAATTAAACCCAAAATTTGTGTGATGAACTGCTTCATGTTGAATTCAATCAACAGTCGTGACACCTGGAGCAAGAAAACGTCTCCGGACCCTTTAATTTGCAATTGTGTCATAGCACCGGCCATCACCATATTCGCCAGTTCGACGTTTTTAGTTGTGACAGCGACGGTTGCCATGACCCCGTACAAAAATGTGAACATTGGGGGCACTGTATTTTTCTTTGTAAGCCATTCTTGGATTTTTGGGAACATAATTTTCGAGAAGCACACAAGCCCCAGTGCGGGGTTTCTCTCCGTGATGTATTGTGTAACTTTCCTGATTTGTATTCTGTGTTCGCTTTCATCCTCGCACGTCTCTTGCATCCGCTTCACTATTTCCTCATTGTCCAATTTCTTCTTTTTCATTTGAATGGTCTGATAGTCATCAACTAACCGATCAGTGGCCATATCAAGAATGTGCGTCATCATGTTGTACAACATTTCCATGGTCTCACCGTCGTATTTGTTTAATGGGTACATCTCCAACACTAATATAAAAGTCCCCATCATCGACGTCTGTGTCTGCACATATCGTTCGTGGGACATACGTTCACACATCACATACATACACTTTTTGACTACAACTGACGTCTCTTCAATCCCCTGCACCTCGTCATGTAACTGAATAATTCGTCCTACTCGTAACGATCGCAAACACCCGACTATTCCTTCAGATGCTATCGACCGAACATCTTCATCATATGGATCCGACAAATTCTTCACCATGATATCAAGCGTCTTCAACGCCCATGGGTAGAAATACTCTTTCATATCACCACTGTAGTCTCGCGCTGCTCTCATCGCGTTCTTCTTTTCATTGGAAAGCTCCGTGTGGATACTCACCACCTTTTTGTCCACCTTGACTTCGGTGATCGTGTCTTCGTCCGCATTCGGGTCTTTACACACCACATCCATTTGCATTCGTGCCCACACTATTTCCATAATGGTCGGCATAAACTGTGACACTCTCCCACCAAGGACCTCCGCAATACGCGAGAACGACGTCTCTATGAATCCAAAGACTGCGTTGTCTATAGTAATTCCTGGCGTCTTCAAGAGTTTGTCGATGTCTTGAACAATTAAAGTCGCACACTCTTCACAATAAATCCCTTTCAATGTACGACCGATAACACTCAAACACTCGATGGCTCGGCCCTTCACAGTGAACAAGTCCGGTTTCACTCCAGTTGCGTTCAATATTATTTCAAGGGTATTCTTCACTGTTGGATAGTACACTATAAACCCTTCTTTCAATCGCGCAACAAGATACGAAATGGCACACACCGCCTCAGACACAACATCCATATCAGCACTGCTCAACAAAGGGTATAATAAAGGCATAAACATCTCCCCCAAATTGTACTTCTCACTTGTTGGCAATGTGTCAAATATAGTACATAAGAAGTCGCAAGCAGAGGATGCTATTCTGGGAACCGGATCTTTCAACAAACTAATTTCAATCTGAAGAATCGAGTCGAGCATCATCTTCATCTTCTTCAGCTTGAGTTTCGATACTATTTTAGAAATGATTCGCAACGCAAGTTGTCGATTTCTTGGCGACTCGTCGTTGTACAGCGCTTGTATGAGTTGGTACATCTGGATGTACACATTTGACAAATCGTTCGCCTTCATATTCATCGCCTCGTGGAAAAAGACTAATAACACGTGCCGCTCTTTCCAGTCTCTCGACATGATCAATTTCTGTGAATTTAACAACACCAAATCTAACACCCTTTTCACACCCAAATTTTCATATAAATTGGAGATGTAGACACAAGCACGTGCATACATCGGCAACACATCAGATTCATCTTCTCTCTTTGCCCATTCTTGTGTGACTTCGACTGTTTTAACCCATTGGAACAACACCTCAAGAATTGCAGATAACATCCCAATGTTATGCTTGACACATTCTTCATACCTCGCAGTGATCGAGTCGATGATCTCCCACGCGTTCTCCTTCAAATTGTCGCTGTTATTTTGGTTTGCACAGGTGATGATGACATACTCGAAAATGGTTGGAATGTGTGGCGTGAGCTGTTCAAAGCCCATCTCGACCAAACTTTCGATGTCCAAGAGCAACTCAATTTTCTCTTCTTCATTCACATTAGGTGACAGAATCAAGTTTTTACACATATCTACAAATGATGAAAAATAGGGCGCTATCATATTCTTTTCAGTCTCAAAGGAATTCTCTTCTTCTAACACCTCGAAAAACGACTGGAAGAATGAAAGTGAGTCGATCACCCAAGCAGCTTCTTTGTGTTGAATAGAAGCGTCGATTATTTTCACAAAGTCACTAAATGCAGCCTTCAACTCCTCTGGGGTGAATGTATACAAAACGTTTTCTGTTAAAATTTTGAACGCGCAGTGTCGGCGTAATGAGTCGTTGAAGATCCACATGGGGATCGACGCAAAAAGTTCTTTCCAGAAGTAATTGTTCTTCTTCTTCATGTTCTCAAAGACCATCCCAATCAATGCAGAGTATCCATTTAACACATTCGAAGCACTTTCTTGATTGAACAAAACCAAAATACTTTGACACAACGAGACCTTCACTTCTAAATTCAGTTTGTCAATGAGTGGAGTTTCTTTTGGTGTAAAAAGGGTCGTCCTGAAACACGTCAAACAAAACCTTTTAATCGCAACGTCCGTGCATTTCTGAAGAAGAACTAAATGCACACCAACAATGTTGTTGATTTGCGTTTTCAATGCGTTGTAACTTTGCTCGGCTTGTTTATATTGTTCAATGTTGCCTTGAACTGGTCCTTTTGAAAGTGTTGTAAAAAGATTCAAAGAGAAGTTGAAAGGGTCCATTGTAATATATTCAGTTCTTCACAACCCTTTTTATTTCTTTCTCATTGCACTTCAGAACAATTTTCATTGGTTTCTCAAGAAAGAGAAAAAGGGCTCTTTGTATTGTTTAACATTCCCAAATCTGTGGTTATTCGTATTATCATATCTCTACTCTACCCCTTTTTGAGAACAAACCCTAGTTCATCATTCAAATCTTTGACGTTTTTTTTAGGGTTTCTTATATTTCTTTTTGGAAAAAAGCAAAAGAAATGATATTTGTGGAAATGTTTTTATTTGAAAAAATCAATTAGTAATAATATAATAATTATATAATATTAATTAATATTAGTATTATTAGTAGTATTAAAAAAATATTATTTAAACATAATTCATTAATAACAAGAATAAAATATCACACAGATTATTATATCATATTATCACCACCTTGTTCTCGGGCTTCTTGGGGCCATCTTTTTTGTCTGTGTTTGGTTGTTCGTGCGTTTCTGGTACTTTTTCAATTTTATCAAATAAAGGTTCTTCCTCATTCTCGTCGTTTTTGTTCTCGTTTTCAATTGAATCATCGTCACAAGAATTTACACAGAATTTTTGCATTCCTATGAACATGAAATTCCACACTTTGTCCCCAATGTGGACGTTTAAAATTTCTTGTTTTTTCACAAGTAACACAGTGTACTCCACACCCACGACCAAGTCATTATATTTCAAAGACAACTTTTTAACATCGGGGTCGTTAAATCGTGTGATGCGTTCGACGACCCCACGTCGAATTAACACGAGAGCATCGTCTTTCTCTGTTCTGTAATTTTCGAATGTGACTGTGATATAGAAAAATCCGGTAAACTCTTTCACCACCTCTATTGTTAACAATCGTTCTTCGCCAACAAATCTTCGTGAAGCAAGGATTCTCTTCTCAGTTTGGTCTTGGTAAACATCATAAAACCCTTCAGAAAGGCATTGACTCATTGAGAAAGTGATTGGGTTGTCTCTGATCAATGGTAATGGCATTCGTATTTGACTCCCATTCGTTGGTGTCAAAAATACTGTTGTCTTCTGGTCGTTCTTGAGTCTGACACTGATTTCTTGTATTTGTTTAGGTTCCTTTCCTTCACTAACAAAGTCCCTTGTTACTGTCGAAACCTCGAAAAATTGTTCCAGCTCTTTCTTTTCGCTGCTTAAAATGATGTTCTTTTGCTTTGCAAGCTGTTCATATAGTGTTTGTTCCGCCATATTTCTCAGATTCTTTTTTTGACTTAATGATTTCTTTTGTTGTGTTGTTTTTTAATTTCTTTTAAGAATAATTATCAAATCATTTCTCTAACTTTTAATTCATTACTTTATTCATTAAAAATCATTATTTCACAAAACAATAATAACTTTTATTTTAATAATTATAATAATTAATTACAAACAATGAAAAAAATGAAGATTAAAAATTAAATGAGTTTTTTATAATAATAAAACTATATATAAAGTTTTTTAATAATAAAATGAGTAACCATTACCATTATAATTTTTAAACCCATTTTACTATAGTTAAAGTTAAAAATAGAAACATGTCGAAAAGAAGATGAACTCAAATTGTATTTAGAAAAAGAACTGCTCAACACTGATGTCGTGTTGTGACGCTGTTGTTTGCTTATTTTCCACTGCCTCTGGCGTTTCATGTTGATTTTGTTCATTATCACCAATTTCAATAGCCGGGCTTGAACCAGTGACACTTTTATTCACACCACTTTCAGTTGGTTGTGTTTCTTCTGTTGCTTGATGAATTGTTTCACCTTGTTGTGGCTCGAAGTCGAAATCGAAGAGTGCGTCGTTCCTTAGTTTTTGTTGTTGTGGCTCGGTCTCCATTTCGAAAAGAGGGAGTGGGCTGACAATTTTTGGCAACGGACTTTTCGTTGCAAATTGGTTCATCTTTTGGCTTTCCGTTTCTTGTGACTTCATTGGTTTGTTCTCTTCTGTAGACTTTGAAATTTGGACTCCAAACATGTCTTCCACTACTTTTGGACTCTCATTCTTCATCTCTTCTTTTGTGTCAATTACTTGTATTGGTGGTGTTGTGTTGTTTCCATTGTTTGGTGTTATCTCGAAGTCAAATATACTTTCGTCTGTTTTCTTCTCGTCTCTTTTAACAGTACCTTCTGCTATGGCATTATTCACACTTGTCGTTTCCTTTGGTGTTTCTCCCACCTCATTACTTATTTCCCTCTGCTCATTTTCTCCTGTCTTGACGTTCTCTTCTATCTGTGCATCAGTCGGATCAAAACTTTGTTGTGAAACGTCGAGGGTTAATAAATCGTTTTGTGGTTGTGGTAAAGCAGGTTGTTCAACATCAAACAAACAACTGTACTTATGGATTGGTTGCTCTTTCTTATCAATTGGAGTACTTTCCTCTTCCACACCTTGTTGTCTATTTTCTGTGACATTTTCTCCTTCTTTTTTCCCAGTTGGATGATCTTGTTTGAATTCATCGACAACTTCTTTATGTTCAACAACGGGTTCTGGGGTCTCTTGCATTCGTGGGGTTGCTTCAAATCCAAAGTCAAACAAGTCTTCTGGTGTTTGTGTTTTGACTTCGTTCTTTTCTTCCTTCGCAGCAACACTTTCAATTGACTCATTTTCAAGAACCACATCTGTTGCAGTGCCATCTGTGTTTCGTGGGGTTGGCTCAAATCCAAAGTCGAAAAGATTGTCCAATGGTTTAGGGGTGTCGACCGTTTTTTCTTCTTTACTTTCGACAATTTGTTCGTTTTGTGTTGTAACGTTGTTTGGATTTCTTGGGGTCGGCTCAAAGTCAAAATCAAATAAGTTTTCATCGACACCCAGTGGTGCCTGCTTTGGTTCCATAGTAATCACCAGTTCTTCGCTTTTTTGACTTTCATTGACGTCTTCTGTGTTCTTCTCAGATTCAATCAAGTCGAAACTGAAAAGGTCTTGTTGTGTGGGTTTGGGCTTTTTTTCTTTCTTTTCAATCAAAGTGTCTTTATTAACAGCCACTTTATCTTCCTCGAGTATTGTTTCATGTTTCTCATTGTCTATTTCGTAGAGGTTTAAATAGTTTTTATAACTCTCTTTCTTAAGAGTTTCTATTTGTTGTTGTGTCAGTGTAACTTGTGTTATGACTGACTGGTTTTCGCTCTCATGTTCAACTTTCTCTTCTCTCGTTTTGGGTTCTTCTTCCTCGTCTTCAATAACAAAATCAAACTTCTTTTGTTTTTGTGTATTCAATTGTGGTATTATTTTCTCTTTGGTTTCAAGTGCGTTCAATGGTCTTGCCTCTGATTTTGCTGGCATAACCTCTTGTGTTTTTGGTGCTTCGACAAATTTGTCAAAATCGAAGTCATCGAAATTGATCTCTTTTTGTGTTTCAGTGTGGGGTTGAATTTGGTTGTTCGAAACATTTTCTTCGTTGGGTTTGGCTTCAGGCACTTTGTATAACACAAAATCGGTCATTTCAATCACTTTGGGCTCTTCACCTTTTTCTTCGATTTTTTGTTCCTGTTTTTCATCGTTTTCTGGTGTTTCACTCAGCAAATCAAAATAATTGATTTTCTTTGGTGTGTTTGTTGGGGCGACTTTTTGTTCTTTTACATCGTCGTCAAAACCAAAATTGTCAAAAATGCTCTGTGTGTTGTTCTCAGCTTTCACATCCTTTTGTTGCATTTCTTCCTTTCTTTTTTCGTTGACCAAATAAAAAATGTCATTTGCCTTGGCCGCATCAACTTTCGTGTTGTTTGGTTCTCTTGGTGTTTTTGGTTTCTTTTTTTCCACAAAATCGCCAAAATTTTCATCAAAAAATGATGACGTATTGTTGCTTGTTTTGAAAGTTTCTACCTGTATTGTTTGATTATTTGGATATTCCTTTTGTTGAAGGGTTAATGGTTGGAACAAATTGTGTGATACATTTGGTCGATATTGTATTGGTTCAATTTGTTGTGGTAACGGTTGTGTATGAACAGGGAGTGGCACAGGAGGTTGGTTTTGTGTGTAGTAAAGCGACGCTAGGTCGTATTTTCTCATTTCCAGACCTTATGAGGTTTTTAAAGTTCGGACATAATATGTGAAACAAAAAAAAAATTTTGATCAAATAAGAAACACCTGACAGTTATTTTATTTGTTTTAAAAAAAATTTAAAAAAATTACAAATAAACTATTATGTTTAGTTACTTATTAAAATAATGATTAATTATAAAATGTTTAATAATTATATTTAGTATATTATTTTATAATATTATTAATTAATAATTTAAAGTATTTTTAATTATTTTTTATTATTAAAAAATACAACAAATTACTAATTATTATTAATATTTATTATTAATATTTATTATAGTTTATTTATTAATTCTTATAATTAACAATTGTGTATCAAATAATATAGCTTTAAATATATTAAAAACTTATGTTAAATAAATATTAGAATAAATATTAAATAGATTGATTATTAGTTTTATTTTGTTATTTTAAACAAGTTTTAATTACCAATAATAATAAATTTATAATTAGAGTTAATATTATTTCAATTGTAATATAGAAAACTATTATATTGTTTATACAAAAAATACTATTAAATTGATCCCACAAAAATGTTTTTAAAATTGTTATAGAAAAAGTAATTGGTTTAAAAAAACCTGTATTTTTGTTAAACAATATGGGTTATAGCATGCTTATAGTCTGATATGGTCTCCGATATTCGATTATTGACAAAATGTTTTTATTTAAACCAGAGTATCCAAAAAAATGCAGATAAGTTGCAAGTTAAAGTTTTGGATTAAAAATCCCGTTTTTTTATTATTATTTTAATAATAATAATAAAAACAAAATGATAATTCCGGATTTATTTTTTTACACTTTATTTTAATTGTTGTTAAAAAAAAGTGTTAATTGAGTTGTGGACTGAAAATAAATTTTATAGTTTATTTTATTATATATTATAGTTACAAAAAGTTATTAATAATATTTTTTGTTAATAAATGTATAACGATTTATTTATAAAAAACAATAGTAAAAAAAATTTAACAATTAATTAACAGTTAAAAAAAATAATTGTTATTTTTCTTTTAAAATGTTTTCAAAAAGACTTTCATTCCAAATTGTCGATGATCTTCCCCAAATTACACATTGTTTTAGAACAACCATAAAGATTGTATAATTTTTATTATTTTATTTAACACGACATAAAAACACAGCACTTATGTGATGCTTTTAAGTCATAACTTGAATAATCCGCTTTCCCCAAATAATTTTAAACATCCTTTTTTGGATGTTCTTATTTTAGCCTTTTTTCTATTACAAATAATAATCAATATCTCAATAACCCGATTTTGTGGTCAAATAATTATTGAATAATGATTAACCAAACTTTCTAATTACCCTTTTTTTTGTTTATGAAAAATATTTGTTATTTTTGCTTTTTTCTAGTTTGCGACATTATTTTTTTGTCTTAATGAAACGAATTTATTGTAAATTAAAAACTATAAATTTATTAATTTTTTATATAATAGAAACAACAAGTTTTTCTGCTTTTAAAATGATTTTTGTCAACTGAGTTCTTTGCGATAAAAAATAATTTGATTCGATTTTTGAAAAATTTGCGACAAAACAAGATAAGAAGTAGTAATTTGTTTTTCTGATGATGATACACAAAATCAGATTTAAAACAACAAAGTCTTTTAATTACTTGCTTAACATATAAGTTATGTAAACATTGTCTTTTATTTTAATTTCTCTTGTTTTTGCAAATGGTGCAATAGCAATAATTACAAATCATCGAATAAATCTAAAGACCTTCCCATAAGTGTTTTCCATTTGTTTAATTCAAAAAAACCAAACGTACAAAATCGCCGAAGAAGTGAAGTAATATGTTAAATTATAAAATATACTAGATGTTGACGTAGATGAGTTCGTTGAGGTAGTTTTGAAGTGCTGGGTCGTTGTAGTCGACCGTTATTTCGTTGCGATTTCCGAGCGCTTCGCAAAGATATTTGTTGATCTTCGCGCCGACAACCGAAATTTCCTCCTTGCCAAACAGGTAGTTGCCGTTATAAAAAACCGTTTTGCACATTTCGTTCCGCATTGCCCCGTTTTTCCCTTCGCTCATTTCGGTGCTAAAGGTATAACCGAACATGTTCAGTATATCCAGGAGGAGCAGGTTGAGTTCGATAATTTTGTTCTTGCCAACTCTTTGTTTAGCAGCAGACATCGAGACGCCAGACGTTATGTCGTGGTTTCGTCGTTGTTGGCAACGCCCTTGAACAAAGGTGTCAACTTCAATAATGTCCTTTTCTTTTTGGAGTAGTCTAATATTCAGGAATTGGTGAGTGACGATAGCCTTTTTGACTGGTCGTTGTATGATAACACGGAACTGTTTGTTGATGAGTGCGATGAAAACGGCCTGTTGATAAGCGAGGTAGTTGCGAGTTTTTGAGAATTGGTTTTTGTCGATGGGCATCATACTCCTTTCCATGGATATGGTTTTTCTGTTTCCATTTCTTTGCCATTTAGTACTGATCTAGGTTGGGCAGAAGAACGATTGGACTGTTATCGCTATTTTTATTCTGATTATTTTTGGAAAGTGAGTTGTTGAGGAAGATATTTTCGGCGCTCTGAATTGGTTACTTTTTTCACTCCTCTTTTATCTTTTTAGACTTTTTGGAAAACCCCCTTCCCACAATTTATTTTTGAATTGGGCTTTACCACTTCCCATTTCTGGCTTTACATCGTCATTTGTGCGTTTTTAAGTCTTTCTAAACACTATAATCGACAAATTTGGGATGTATTCTCCCCCAACGGTTTTGTTGATTTGAAACGAGTATGACAATAAATGTTTTTCTCTTGAAACGCAACCCTCCAAACGGCAGCTTTTTTCGCCAAGAAAATCTTTTCTTAATTCTTTAAGTTATTTTAATTATCGATATACTATTCATTTATCATACCAAGTTTCAATATGGACTTCGATGCTTGGACAAATACTATTAATATTAGTTTTTTATATTATAAATTGTTCAGACTTAATATAGACCGACTTTTTTTAGGGATCTGTTTTCTTCTTTTCAACAAGCAGTTTTTGTTATTGAGAAGCTGAATTGTCCCGGGTTTGGGCGAAAGGCGAAGCTAAGATAATGGGCAAGTGTGATTTTCTAGCAAGGGGTTGCTCTTTTTGAGGCCAAAGTTACGGGAGAATACCCCTTTAGTTTTGAAACTGTTTTTGTACAAGATAAATGTTTACTGAGCAAGAATTCTGAATGCAATTTGGGCGTCCTCTGATTTGCAACGGGGTTGTTCTTCTTTTTCACCAAGAAAAAAACTCTTTTGGAAATTGGTATTGCATTATGGCAAAATAGAAAAATAACTCGGCAAATCAGAAATCAAATAACCTCAATTATCGGTCTTTTTGAAAGTGTTCCAAATATAAACAAAGTTTAAAATAAAAATAAATAATTCTATTTTCTGTTTCACATATTCAAACATGAATAACAAGTTTTTCCAATGTGTTACAATTGCCGGTATTACTAATTTCCAAAAAGAAAAGGTTTCATTTTTTTAATCGACGGCAAACAAACCCATAACATACCAAGACGAACCACAAAACGCGATTTATTAAACTGGGTTTTGTTTGTTTTTCAAAAAGCAAATTCAAAAATAGACAAGTTATTTTCAAATAGTTTCAAATATACATATATTAACTATAATTTTACTTAAACTCCAAAACCATTATTTGTTGGAAGAAAAAACCAAAATAACTTATCTAAAAATAACAAAATTAAAAATAACTCGATTTGAAACAATAGTATTAGTAACTACATAATATAGTTTGGCGGTGGCGGTTATATTATTACTGAAGAAAAACTCCAAACATAAAATAGAGCCTTTTCAGCTCAAAAACAGGGAAAAGATTCAAATAAATAACAAAAACAAAAATAAAATGGACAATTTTTGTAAAACAATTTTGGTACTTGTTTTTGTGTTACCATTCGAATTTCGACAGAAAAAGTTCGTTAAAAAACCCACACGGCATATGTCTGTTATTTAACTGCATGGATCAAAAATGCCATAAATAAATTACTGCAAAAACCCCAATAATTAAGTGTTTTTAAGCATAACACAATCGATATGGTGAAGATGATCTGCCAATTAAATATTCACACTATTTGAAAAATTCTAAAAAATCAAAGTTGGCCTATTGAGTCTTTGGACATAAACAGTGATTAACATACTGTAAAAACCCACTGACTATCGTTTTTTTACGTATCTATGCATTAAGAAACCTGTTTATTTTACAAATATAAATATTAGTGATTTGGTTGATCTTTTTAATTTGACACAATGAAAATTTTACATGAATAAACTTACACATATACATTTGATTTCAGAAAGATCGTTTTGTGTTTTATGATTTTAAATCAAAACGTTCCCATTTTGTTGAACAAATAAATCATGATTCAGTATATTATCTTTATTGTCTTTACAAATATTCATTAAACTGTACAATATGAATATAACCCTTATTGTATTTTGTTACCACCTTGCCTCTACGTCAAATAGTTTTTTTTTGAAAATGAAATTAGTAAGTAAGATCGGTTTATGGTGATGAAATAACCAAAATATGGCTCAACAAACACATTAACCATATTATAAATGTTATATATAACACTATTGACAATTTATTAAAAATAGTTTTTTCAATATGGTTAATAATTTTTTAATCATTAAAACTTATAACCATTAAATACAATAACTTTTTATAATTTGAAATATTTTATTAAACTAATACAATTTATTTAAAAGAATAATAATTATTAATATATAAAATCAATTAAACGATTGTATTTACTGTAATTGGATTATTTCTGGAAAAACACAAAACACTCACAAAATAATGTTTAATATCTTTTAATTTTTTTAAACATAAAAACTAATATTTCTGAAATATTTTTATGAATAATTTCACATCGTTTTCAGTAAAAAATACTAAAAATAAAAAATGTAAACACGTTGGAAAAAAATCAAAACACTCTAATCTTTTTTATAATAGGTAAAAAGTCCTCAAAAAATTGTTAAAAAACCATTTGGATTATTTTAATGCGATAAAAATATTATTAAAAAGGAAACCGATACAATTCACAACCACAATTTTTAATAAAAACAGGCTCGAAGTTACAATCTTTCGGATTGTAATAATATGGGATGTTGTAATGTAAAACCATTAATTATTCTTCGATGATTAATTTTATATTTCAAATTCGTTATTTTGAATTGAAAAATAAAAAACAAAATTTTAATTATTAATATTAATAAACAAACTGCGATAATGTCGCAGTTTGTTTATGGTTGCTTTGTAAGTAAGTTTATTCTTTTTTGGTTGCGTTTTTTATATGTCTTGACTGAAATATACTCAAAACAATTTAAAATACTTAAAGCGCATCATAAAAACGATTATTTTCAACGACTTGACTTTTGTTTGCATTTTCCATTTTAAAATTGTTATATTATTTATAAATTACTTCAAATACATTATGATGTTTTTGGTTGTTAAACTAAAGTAACAAAGATAAAATAATATTCGTGTTGTGAAAGGTTTAGTATTTGTATTTTTAGAAACTAAAAAAAATATTTTAAAATGTTAATTGTTATTAATCAAGGTTTGGTGGTGTATGATAATTAAAATAAAATATTGTCATTCCATTGTTTTGAATTTGTTATTTTGTTGACACCCTTGGATACTTTTTTGTTTTTATTATGTGTTAAAATGTTAAACAACATTTTTTATTCATTAATTTGTTAACAGTTCAATATATTCTCAATTAATTGTTACATATTTAAAAACAACAAACATTTTAATGTTTTTAAACAAACCTTTTATACAATAAAAGCAGTAATGAATTTTCAAATTTAATAGATGAAATTTGAGTTGCCAACTTTGCCTGACTGAAATTTGTTTAAAACTACAACGACATTTTATGTTAAAACTTATCGATAAACTCTTTAAAAAGCTGTTTTTATTTTCCAATTTATTAATCGTTTATTTAATTCCTGTTTTGTGTAACAAGCTTTTTTATGACAACAAATAAATGGTTTGTTTATTTGTTGAATAAATAAATAATCATGTGAAATTCATTAATAATAAAAACAATTTTATAAAAATTCTTTTTTTTAATAAACGTACTATATTTGTAACATAAAATATATTAACAATAGTACAGTCATATATGTGGGGAAAAAAAGAAAGGAACAAAAAATCAAATTATTTGGCGCACTTGATTTGAGCAAAAGCGTTCTTGACGGACTGGTGGTTGTCGTCTATTTTGTTATAATTCTTTTCAAAGTGGTAAAGCGTTTTAACGACGGCCCCTTTGACCTTCTTCGAGGAGACGTTGTTGATTTTCTGTTTGAGTTGAATTAATCCAACAAGCTTTCCAAATGTTCTCTTGGCCTTTTTAACGTATCTTCTGTACACCTTCTTGCAAAGTCTGTGATACTTCTTGCACGCAGGTTGGTTGAAAATTTTTCTCGCCTCAGTCTTAAAGTTAAACAAGAAATCGTCTGGTTTGTTCTTGTACTGGGACTTCATTTCTCTTAATGTCGAGTTGAGTTGGTGTTTGAGTGTTCGTACAATTCCTCTCTTTGCGGCTCTGAACTGCTTTCTCTGCACTCTTCTGTATTTTCGAATCTCTTTGACCTGGTCGGCCAATGCTCTTCGAACACGACCGGCCTCTTTGCGCAATGTCACGATTTGTGCTTGAGTCTTTTGAACCTCTTTAACGGGCTTGGATGCCGCTTCAATTCTCAACGCATTTATGCTCTTCTTCAACTTCTTGAGTTGGCGGTACAACTCTTTGACTGAATTCTTGTGGGAGCGGTTGTATCTTCTGAACCATCTGCTTCGAACAAATCTTCTCATTTTCCTGTTGAACCCCCTCCTTCTATCTTCTGCGCTCACGGCTATTACGAGTAATACTAACAACAACACTTTCATCACCTGTCTATAATATACTTTTTTAGTTTATAGTTCTTTCTATTTCTTGATTTTTATTTTTGTTTTCTATAACATTTTTCATTCCTATAAATAAATATTTCCAAAAAGTTTTTTAAGTTCTTTTTTTTGTTAATTTTTATAATATTACAATAATATATTGTTATTTTATTATTAATAGTATTATTATTTTTAATATTTGAATTAAAATAAACAAAAATTCGCATTTTTTTAGTGTATTTTTTCGGGTTAATTGTTTTGTATTTATTAATATTTTCAAAGATATTAATAATATTATTATTAATTTAATAGCATTTTTATTATTTAAAATAAAAACAATTTTTTAATATATTGTTTAATTTTTAATATAATAATAAGATAGCTAGTATCACAATAATTAATTATAATATTATTATGTAAAACTTTTTTAGATAAATTAAATTTAACCACAACTAAACTATATGATTATATACTATAAATTTAATAAAAACATTAATTGTTGTATTTTAATTCAAATAAATTATAAAAAACTATAATAAAAACTTCAAAAAAACAAAACAAAATTAATATGTCGAATAACACACCACAAATCCCACCACTTAAATCAGACTTCATGACAAAGCTCAAACAAATCATTGTGGCCATCCCAAACAGCGAGTTGATTATGAAAGGGAGGTACAAAGAAGTTTTCGAGACTCAAAGTTTTGAAGAATTTTTACTCAAAATGGTCGCAGCCGCCCGAGAGTTCATGGGTTCAACGAGCATAGACAGCGAAACGAAATTTAACCTCTTTTTTTCGTACCATTACTACGTTGATCTCCTTTGTGAATCGATGGCAGATAAGTTTGTATTATAATTTATAGTTTATGGTACCATATACATAGTTATAAATATAGAATTCACGTGGAGGTCTGTATCATTCAGCCAGATGAATCTTTTAGCTCAAGTCAAAACACCACTACCAACTATCTCACCAAAGAGTGACAACGACTCACAACAATTGCAACTTACAGCACCACAACAAGAAGTTATGGAAACTCCAACTGAGGCTACAACACCAAGTCACGCGGTACTCATTGAGCTCCTCACTTCTGCATCAGAAGAACAACTCGAGAAAGTCTTACAAATAGTGTCCCCACAAAACAGTGACTGGTGCATTGGGATGGACATCGCTTCGATGTCGGCTGATGTTTTAGAACAGGTCTCGGCTGTATTAACGTCTGCTTAGGTTGTGTAATTGAGGTATTTTGTTCGCATTTTGAAGTACTATATACCTCCGATTTTTTCTTTTATATAAAACAAAAGTGTTGATTAATAAGACTCACAATAGCATAATTTTAGTAACTTCTTTAGTTTCACTAAAATTATTACTTATTATAATATTATTACTTAAATTCTTCTTTTTTTTTATATTATATTAATTACTTTATAAATAATTTATCAATTCATTTGATTAGTTAATTATTTATTTCAATTAATAACACTTATATAAACCATTAGTATATAGTTAATAATATACTATTCCAAATATTTTTTTTGTTAATAACTATAGTTTTTGACCAATACTCTGATATTGTCTATTTTAAATATCTTCTCTAATTTTTAATTCGAGTTGACGGAAAAAGTGGGATGCTGAGAAAAAGGGGGATGCTAATCTAAATATTAATTAATTTAATATTATTAATAATAAATTATTAATATAAATTTATTTTGGTTTTTTCATTTTATTAATTTTTGAATAATAATTTATATTAAAATTAATAGTAATTTTATTATTTTTCAATTGAAATTAACCAATAGTTACGAGCATCCTTCTTTCTCTAGCATCCCCATATTTCCTCCTACTGTATTATCTCCACTACTTTTTTTCTTTCAAAAGTTTATTTGACATTAGAAACGTCCGTTATATTTCAAGTATAAATTGATTAATAATAACTATTATATTTTCGGGTTAATGCGAAAAAGAAAACGTTTCTTCTAAATTCCAAGCTGTTCGAGTAGAGTAAAATGAACTGAAAAAACTTTTGAAAGGCGTCAGTCGTATGAAAAACATATTTAACTTGTTTTCATCGAAATCGCCACAACACGACGAACCACAACAATGCGCACAGCCCCCTCCACACCGTGAAGAAGTCGAACTACAAATTGCTCTTTCGAATTTCCAACAATTACCTACACAAGACCTCTTTGAAATATGCGTGTTGAAGGTGGTTGAAATTTTTTTAACTCGGAAAGACTTCCCGTTGTCTGTTGACTACTCCCCAGTCATCCAACACTTATTTGAAATTATTAAAATAAACTCCGAACCACAAAATTTCTTGGAAGACTTTTTCGTTCACAATTTTCTTCACTTGGAATTCCTCGCCATTTTAACTAACAAAGTCCCGAGCAAATTCACTGCATTTCAGATCAAAAAGTTGATGGAAATTGTCGTTCATGTGATTCACTTTGTTCTCGACTTCCCTCCACCAACCCCCTTTTTAACACAAGACAAGATTTTCGAGGTCGCTCGCTTTCAAAACGACGTACTTTTGGTTCCCGTGCAAATCGAAAAGATCGAAGTCACTCCACAAGTCCAAGCCATATCATATCTTCTCACAATTGTCGGGCCGTTCTGCTCGAAAGAAACAAAGAATATGCTCTTCACCGACGAACTCACATTCAACACTATCGACGCTTTTATAGACCATTATTATAGATACATCCCATTACTCACATTTAATTCGCCATCTCCTCTTGTTAAAAAGGCGAAGCTACTCTGCGTGGAGTTGACTGAAATAAAGACGCCGGAGTTGGTGGATAAGTACACCAAATCACTTCTGGCCCTCATTTTGTGTCTAACGAGAATGTCACCGGAGAGTCCCGTCGACTTCCCTGGATTATTTCCTTATTTGCTCCAAAACAATCCATCATCGGAGTCGTTCACATATTATTTTAATATCATGCACGCGACACAAAATTTCGAGTTTGTGGTTCCGATGATATACTCACTTGGAAAGTACATCACAAAAGCGACAGAACAAGACTATCAAGTATTGTTGCGTAAAATCCATCTGTACATTCATTCGTTGTATAAGACAACACATTTCTTCCAAGACGAGTTAACGGTCTTGACCTCCGTAGAAGATAAAAATGAATGGAAAAATTTGGTAATGGCTTTTACAAGTATTATGGTGTGTTTGACTGCTGATGAGAAACGTGCGTACTTCGAGTTCATTAAGAAGAATTCGAAGGACTTGGATATTATGGGGGCAGTTGTGGAGGGTTTGTCGCAACTCCAATTGTCGCGGTTTTATATCCAAGAGTTCATCCTTGACTCGGGCGTGTCGTACTACTTGAGACAATTGGCGAGTAACTGCGAAGGCGATATGAAAAAGAAGGTGTTGAGGTATTTAGTCGATTTGATGAAGGACAGTGACGTTTTGAAGTATTTTAAAACGTCGGAGCCGCAGAGCTTTTATTCGAACTTAATGCGAAATGCACAAGACAAAGAGGAGTTTGAAATGGGTGTTGAAGTGATGATGTTGCTTTTATTAGATGAAGACAAAGAGAATGTTAATAAGTCGATGGGGTATATTAAACTGTTTAAAATGGTTGATGGGATAAGTGAGAGTGACTTCCGCATTCAAAAGATGAAATTGTATCGAATTAACATGGGAGAGGCAAATGAAAGTATTTTAAGTGACGTCATTTACTTCCTCAAAAAGTGCTTTACAAACGAAGATGAGAGCATCGAATACTTTTCCACATTTTTTGATGTGCTTTCTTCATTGAAAGAGAACCCTAATGGTAAGAAATTGTTTCTCGAATTTTTAGGACTAGATGAAGTGTATGTACTCATTAAAAATATCGTTACAAAGAAAGGAGAAGAAGTCTTGTATATGTTGAGGAATATCGCACTTACTAAACGATTTAATTTGATCGACAACATTCAAACGATAATTTTACTATTAAAAATTCTCTTAGAACTCTCTGATGAAATGAAAGACAAGATGATTGGTAAAATGTTTATACCAATGACTGTCGAATATGCAAACTTGGATGTATTGAGTAAACCCGAAGTCACCGATTTGTTACTCAAATTTGTAATGAAAGAAAATCCATCACTTCACGCAGACTTTTTAATTCGAGCCATTGTGTCATACAACTGCAACAACACCGTGTTGAACCAAATTATTAAAAAGATCCATAAAGAGCGAAATTTTCCAGAAGTACTCCAATCAATCGTTTTGGCGTCATTTGAGAACATCCCAACCCCAACGTATTATTTGGATGTTTCTCAACGAACTGTCCTCGAACTTAATATGAAACTCCCATTCATTAACGTCAAACCATTCACAGTATGCACGTGGTTTTCTATTCAAAAATTTCCTGAGTACAAAGTACCCACCGTGCCAATACTCACTGTCAAATCTGCAAAGAGTATGTTGTCGCTTCATGCGACTCCTTTGGGCATTTCACTGTATTTTAAAAACACCGGAGAACTTATACAAACATCCGTCAGAGAAAAAGTATACCACTCAATTATTTTCACTGTTGTGCAACAAGAGAAGAGCGAAAGGTGTACCGTTTCCATTTTCTTTGATGGTCGACGAATTGGAAGTGCTGAAGGAAATGGTGTTTTTGGCAATTTAAGTGAAATTGAAATCAAAAGCACTGCAGATTCGAGGATGCGATTGGGCAATATTGTTGTGTATAGAAATGTCTTGAGCGATCTGGCAGTTGAGAAATTTGTCTATCGGAAAGACGCGGACATATTACCATATTCAGAAGAAGTGATTGACTCTCCTATAGATATTCAAGAAGCAAAAGATACAAGACTGCCACTTCCCGTGTTCACATTTCAAGTTAGTAGTTTGAAATTGACGACCAACAAAGAGATAAGTTCCGTTCAATTACTAAAAGGCGATGGTTTAGTGAAATGTATTGAAGAAAAAGTAGTTGGGAGGTGTCTTCATGGGAAACAGATGATGTCAAATATAGGAGGGAGTGATGTATTATTACTTTTATGTGGTGAGATGAACGACGATAATAGCGTATTGCGTGTCATTGACGTGATATCAGGCTATTTGAAAAAGAATGGCCCGGCATCGAGATACTTTTTAGAAAATGGTGGGATGAAAATCATGTTTGACATTATCGAGAGTAAAAGTGGCGTGTATTCTAATATCAATATCGTGGAAACACTTCTTGGATTTGGGAGTGAAGAGGATAAAGACGCATACATTTCAAAGTTGCTTGTTGAAATGGTTGTTCTCAATATTGATATATGGAAGAGAGTGAGCGATGATGTGTTGAGTGAATACATGAAGAAGATACTCATAAGTTTCAAATCTGCATACAAACAGATGACTATCAGGGCAATGGAAGAGTGTAGAGTCTTTGAAAGGTTTCTTCAGTATTTTGATCGTGCAGTGATCAATAAAACAGTGAGAATTGGGTATGTGGAAGTGATGGCAGAATTATTAGAAGGAACTTCGTGGCGGAGTAATTTACATCACTTATCGACCATCGTTCAAAACAACAACATTACAGAGCCTGTCATTCGGTGTTCTATTTACAGAGATAACGACAGTGAATTATCAACGATTCCACTTTCATTTGGAAACGTTTCTGTGAGAGATTTATTGGCACCGTATGATGTGTCAACTACTTCATCAGAAACGGATTGCCAAGACGCACCAAATGTAGAGTCTTTGATGGTGGTTATAACCATCTTATTGAAGAGAATCGACAAGATAAAAGACCAAAGTGAATTGTATGAGTTTATGTTGACAAGTTCTACAACGGTTCCCCTTGGAATAGTTCTGGATTTGATTGGTGTCATAGGTAAACGGTACATTTGTGATGTATTAAAGTATTTAAGTGTCATGCTATCCATTCAACAGATTCATAATAAGTTTGTGTTGGCTGGTGGATACATTAGACTCTTCAATTCATTACGGACCGTGCGGAGAGTACCAACAATGAACAACCAAATGATCATGGTACTTGTAGATATGATCCATCATCTATTCGTTTTAAATCACGAAAAAAGTTGTAATGTCGACCTTGCTTCAGATCCTTCACTTCTTTTACTTGTTGCGTGCTTGAAAGAGATCCCAACAACTGTATTGAAGAACGTGGTGAAAGTGTTTTCGGATGAATCGATTCGACTAGAAGGGAGAAATTTGTTGTCGTCGAAAATGTACAGTGAGGTGGTCTTCCACGCAATGTTGAATTGTATTAACCGCAACGACCCAGTTGATATATTGGAAGGGCTGTTTATGATGTACGACGGCTCGATGAATGAATCACAGAAACGATCTGTACAACACGTCGCAAATAAAGTGCACCAACACTATTTATACATTACATCACATCTGATGTTTGACACTTTTGACTCGGGACTTGTGTGGAGGATGTATATATTCATGGCTGATATGCACACCAAATACGTTCTAACTCAAGGCAGAAAGTCGCAGAAATTGTTTTTTGTGAATTGTCTTGGGAGGATATGGAGAGAAGTGATTCTTCAAGAATTTCCAATACCAAACGAACAAAAAGAAGTGATTATCGACAAGTTGGCGGTTAAACAGTTTATCATCGAATTCGAAAAACGAGAAAATCTCTTTGAAGAGATGTACAACAATGAACCGGTGGTTATCTATTACGTCCCCCTCTTGCAAATACTGGGCCTGACAACAATCTTTGCAACTGAAATGGGCAAGAAGTATCAGAACAATCTAAAAAAGGAGGAAGAAGGCTTGGACTATATCAATCAATTTGTGAAAGAGATATACGACCGCATTGAAAAGAAGGAATACACCCATCCGTACTTAATTCATGTTCACCCAACAGCTGTTGCAAATGAAGTCCAATATAGTCGACCACCAACCCGTGTTTTTAGGGTTAAAAATGGAGGTACAAATATTATCTCTTCTTTACATTGGAGAAGAATTATCAAAAAGTACTTTGCGCCATTACAGATTCTTCAATTGAACGTTCCAAGTATCATCACTGCTCATAAGTTGGAGTCTGTAATATCTCCATCATATATCAGATCAGTTGTTGGTTATTCCTCTCCAAAGCTACGCAATTTGCCATCGTCGGAGGGAATAACATCTGAGATAATCAGTGAGATGGAGAGGTACAAATCACTGTTTAGTGTAGTTAAATATATCCCACCGATATTTCTGACTGACGGAGTGAAATGCAAACGCGTTCGAGAGGACAACGAGCGAGACGGATTTCTCCACATAGTCGACGAAACAAATTTAGTCTTTCAATTTAGTGAGCAGTTTGAAGAAGAAGAAGTCAAAAAGGAAGTTGTTATACCCCTTGGGAATTCAATAGTCACCAAAATGATGTATTTGTACCAAGACACTGGGCTTGAAATTATCCAATGGGACGGTCGTGTGGAATTCTTTGTCTTCCCACCAAAGCAGCGAGAGAAAATCACTGAATGGATCACCATCAACGAAAGTAAATTTGGCGAAGTGACAAAGACGTGGTTGAAAGGTGGGATGAGCAACTTTGAGTATATTGGAGCGATCAACCATGAGGCTGGGAGGTCATATAGAACACTTTCTCAATATCCGATATATCCATGGGTCATATCGTCTTATGATAGTGCCGATTTAAGACTGAGCGATACACAGAATTACAGAAATTTGAAGATGCCAATTGGAGCTCAGAAAGAGACTGGGATACTAGAAGACAATTATAATGAGAAGGAGTGTCATTATAACTGTTGTTTGAGTAGTCCGTCTGTGGTGATGAGATGCCTCTTCAGATTAAGGCCATTCACTGATTTGATATATAAAGAAATGTCTGGGAGGTGTCTGGAGATAGAAGGGAGGATATTCACAAACATCTCGTCGTTGTATCAATCGGCAATGATACAGTCGCGAATCGAAATTATTCCGGAATTTTACAGCACTCCGGAGGTCTTTCTCGATATGAACAAATTAAAGAGTGAAAAGAACGAAGTTGGCGATGTGAAGTTCCCACAATGGGGAAAGACAGCGAGAGAGTTTGTGAGACACATGCGGGAGGCTCTTGAGAGTAACGAAGTAACGATGAATTTGAACGAGTGGATTGATCTTGTGTTTGGAGTTGACCAACAGAACCGGCAGAAGTACAATGTATATAGTCCTGAGTATACCAAAGACTCCGATGTTGATGCAAACTTACGAGAAGTTATCTGGAAAACCATGGGAAATATTCCTAATAAAGTCTTTTTAAAGAGTCATCCCAAGAGAGTTGTTTTACAGCGACTTCCATTCAACTTTTATAATCCACACACTGCAATTGTTGGGAATGTACCGAAGGGTGTAGTCTATTGGGTTGAGAATGGGAAATTCATGTCGAGTGCGGAAAGGTGCTATTCATACACAATAGACAAAGACCAATTCATTGTGAAGTTTGATCGTCTTAAAGGTACTTTTGTGCAACTCAAAGGTGAACAAACACTTTCGTCCTTCTATGTCGATATGTTAGATGTGACGTCTTTTGTTGTGAGTGATAATGGCAATCGTTTGATATATGGAAGTGAAAGTGGGATGTGTAAATTAGTTTTAAATCCGTTTGGAGGGAAAAGGAAAGTAATCGAGTTCAATGGAATAGAAGGAGAAGTGCGTTGTTTGGACTATTGCTTCGACTTCCATACCACAGTTATCGCTTCAAACGATTGCAAAATTCGGATGTACAACGACGACGGAGAACTCAGGAAACTCATTGAAGAGAAGGAAATGGCAACACAGATCATATTCAACCAAAAGACAGGAGACTTCTTTGTTGTTGAGGTCGACAAAGAGATAAACAAGACGTTTGTTAAAGGGTTTTCGATCAATGGCGAATGTTTTGCTTCAACTATAATTAGTGCCACGATCACAATAGCTGTCACAACACAGTTCATGGATGGGTTTATTAAAAATGTGTTGGTTTTTGGAAGTACCGGTGGTGAAATTATGCTTTACCAAACAGACGACTTAACTTTTCTCGGGTCTTGTAATGCAAAAGTGGGTGATGAAACGCCTTCAAAAGTGTTGTCTATACTTTTTACGTTTGTTTTTAATACTTATGTATTTGTGTATTAGTACCATTTGGTTTACTTTGGTTTGACAATAGTTCAGATAGTCCAGTGTACTAACAAGCAGAGAGAACTATTCTAAACTCTATTTCTTTGTCGAGTGCACAGAACGAATGGTGAACGTTTTTGAAATAAAATGATAATTTATTATTATATTATTATATATTAATGTTACAAGAGAGTTATATTTAAATGGGTAATAAAATGTTATTGAAATAGTAACATTCTAATAGATTTGTGAAAATAATAGCTGTTCGGCGACTTTTGAGTTTCCTAAAAAGTCGCCGACTTTTTAGTCATATCAAAAGTCGCTGACCTATATTTATAATTTAAATACAATAAAATTTACTTATAAAAAAGATAAATTAATCAATATTAAAACTATTTTAAAAACATTAAATAATTATTTAAAATAACTATAAAAAAAATAAAAAATAAAATAAAAATTGATGAATAATAATGGTGATTTTGTGATACAAAATACAAAAGGCAAAAAGTAAAGAAGTAAAAATTCATTTTGCCACAAAAAACAAACTTGAGATTAAAATGAAACTCAAAAATAATCTTATAATTACATGAGCACTACACCTCTACGTTTTCTACACACGTTTTCTTCTCATGTCAATCAAGAAGCTAATATACACACAAATCACCCACCACTCAAACGAACGATAAAGAAAGGAACAAGAAATAACAAAAAGAAAATAAAAAGAAACGTCAAATCAACTCAATATATGGAGGAAGTATCTATACAACAAATTACTACAAATCAACTGATATTACAAACAACACAAAGTGAAGTTAATCAGTTGACACAACGGTCTTTAACTAACTCTCAAAATAACAGCCAATCAACACATATTGCACAAAGTCAACAGAGTGTCAATTTAATTCCACAGACTCTTCACATACAACAAATATTTCAACACCAGAATATTCAAAACACTCATAACATTAACCCTGATAATTCGATACACAATTCACATACAATGAAGCTACACAAACAACATACCAAGCAACTGAACATCCTCAACCACTTTTGACCATGGTCGAAACTCAGAAACAACCATCACGTAACAACACTTTAATTGCATTGCAAAGATCATTAATTGTCAACGAGGAAGAATTTGAAGAATATCACACAGGAGACACACCGACAAGACAGCGTCGTCGAAGTGAAAATGAAATTGATTATAACGCAGAAATAACAATAGAATCCACATACCCAACAAAACCCACTTCCAATGAAAAACGTTTAAATTATCCAATAAAAGTGTTTTTAAAACGTACATCATCAACAATTGTTGATTTAACAGGATTCACAAATGATGAATTTGACGATATTTTCGATATAATACTATACAATGGAAGATGGGACGCTGTAAACAGAAAATATGTTAAACAACGAATTGATTTAAATATACTTTCAGTAAACGAAAATCAAATTTTGAATTCAAAAGAATTATTTTTATTGCTACTTACATTTCTCAAACACGCATTTGATTACAAAACATTATATGATATATTTGATTATAGAAAAAGAAGCAACATTTTAGAAGAAAAACAGATTTGTAAAAATTCAAAAAATAGTTTTATTTCGAGAAATTTAGAAAGATCATATTTACTTTTTGCAGTTAAAATGAAAAAAATTTTTATTGAAAGTTTAAATTGTATCCCCCAAAAACTTCGTGTAAATTTGGCAACAGGCAGAAGTCAAGATTATTTAAGGTTTATTCCTCAACTTGAACATTCATTTTACATCGTTGATGGAAGAGACCAAATGATTTCAACACAACTAAAAACATCAGAAAATAAACGCAAAGTAAAGGATGGTAGATATTTTACATTTAAACATCACTGTAGTGGGCTTAAAACAGAAGTTTATGTTAACTGTGATGGAATGGCTGTTAAAGTGTCAAATACTCAACAATGCGCAACAAACGATTTAACTGTCTACAAGTGTAATTGGGATCCCAGTTTTGTTTTGGAAAATGAATGGGTACTTGCAGATAGTGGATACAGAGGAGTCGGACAAACTTTGATACCTTATCCCAAAACTGGAAAAAACGAACAGATTGTATTAACAGAAGATTACTTGATCAATATGAGTCTAATGATGAATGGTTCTGAACATAGATTGAGAATTGGAGGAAACTTCGAAGGAACTTTAAAAAACAGTGTATTTAAAGGAGGTGTAAGTGGTTCTGTTGTCGAAATAGTTCACTTTGATACGGAAACAGTGCAGGAAATAGAACTATACACATTGTTCAGACAAGTTGACGTGACAGAAAGAGATGCCAAATGTAGGGTGTGTTGCACTACAACTTTTGAAACAAATTTTGAGGATGTTTCAAACTCAACATATCAAATCTTGGGCATGCTAGAAGTTTCGAATGTTGAGTTTATTATTGATTCGAACCATTTTGAATGTGAGCGGGGCACAATTGAATGTGAGTCAATGATGTTATTAACAAAAGTAGACAATTCACTTATTAAAGCGTACAATGCAGTTCACTCAAGTGTCAGAATTCTCGTTGAAAATCATTTTGGTCGACTGATAATATTATTTAAGTTGATGAGAAACAAATACGGGCTACTAAAAAGAGATTATGAGTCTCTAGTCAATATTGCTCATTCACTTTGTAATTACCACATATCAAAAAAGCCATTAAGAAAGTTTCCTTTTTATCTCTTCAAAAGAATGGCAGATGGAGATTATTCGACCCCTGTTGGAACAACCCCAATTCAACTCCCGAGAATTGCTGGAGAAATTGTGTCAAAATTGAGTGGAGAGTATCATAGAGCAAAACTGGTTCACAACGAAAACAATTTAAGACAATACAATTCAATAAACGAATTTCTGGGTGTTGGAAATTCTTCAAGAGCAATTCAACAAATAGTTATTCCAACTGAACCACATTCTTCAACTACAAATGAGTTGGTTGATGATGCCACATCATTACTAAGACCTTTTCCGTGTGGAGAAGTGGGAGAAATCATTTTTTCAGAAAGTTTAATGAATGAAATTAACGATGAAATTGATTTTTGAAGAACGGCAATTTTGTTATTGTGGTGATCTTATTTTAAAATTTAAATTTTTTGATTTTAATGATATTTTAAAATAAACTGTTGTTTATTATTGTATTCAAAAGTGTTTTCAAATTATAAAATTCTAATTGTTATTATAAGAATTATAACAACTTTTGATAGAATTGTGCATATTTGATATTTTAAAAATTATAGTAATACGAGTTAATATCAATAGTTTTGTAGTTTGTTTATAAGTCGCCGACTAATGAGTAATATCAAAAGTCGCCGAACAGCCATAAATTAATCACTTAAAAAATAATTGGTTGGTTTAAGTATTTGATTTTAATTTATTAATAAAATAATAGAACGATATAATAACTAATAGTTATAATTTTATAGTTGAAAATAAAACAAGTAAATTAGTTTTAAATTATTTAAATAAAACGGGATATTTGGAGTATAATATGTAAATTTCCTTTTTTGTAAAGGTTTATTGAGATTATAATAATATACAAGAACATCAAAGAAGAGAATAAACAATAAAACTATACATTTATAATAATAATACTAATAAAATCTCACACTTTTGGGATGATTACTTAACACTGAAACCTCATCAACTCTGTTTTAGGAAAGACTCAAAAAAGAGTCTAAAACTGGAACAAAGAAAGCAAAGATAAAAGACATGTATGGTACATACAAAACAAGCTCAAAGCTTCGCATTCAAGTGACACATTTTGACTCATTGATGACGCGGTGCATTGCGACAGGAGCACTTCCGATCACAACATTATACCCGGAGAGAGAAGTGGTGAAGAGTGTTCACTGGCTTGAGTTTTATGGGAGTGGATATATGAAAGAGCGTATCACCGCGAAGATCATATCGTCGTTTGAGTTGTGTGACCCAAAGTTTCTTAACAACTTGCGTGCGTCCATCTTGAAAAAGCGAAAGGAAGTGTTTGACATGTTGCGACTGAATTCGTACTTGCAGTACAAAAAGTCTGAAGAGCGAAAAGAGAATTACTTGACTATATTTCTAGCGGAATGTGGGTTGAAAAAACACCAGACAAACGCGGGGTTGGAGGTGCGAAGATTGGTGGAGGAGATGGACAATTTCGTGTTAAATTTTCTGTTTGTAGCTGGCTGCAACGAATTCTTCAATTCACCTTTACGAATAGCTGTTGGCGAAATCACAAAGAGGAACTTCTTCTTCAAGAAGTGTAAAAAGGAGAAGGGAGCCTACATCGAGAGTTTTAACTTGGGTCTTCTTTTCAACGACCCCGTCATCTCTGCCACTTGTCCCTGTCAAGTCCAATGTAATTGAAACAATGTACATCAACTACATAGTGACATTAGATATTCTTAATTTGACTCTTCAAATGAATCAATTTTATACCATTGTATTTAGTGATGGAAGTGAGTTATCTTATGTCTTTAATAACAGACTGTTTTTTAGTTGTATTACTCAACTCTTATGATTATTAGTTAATTATTTATTAATTAATTATTATTTATTATATCTATATATAATTATAGATTATAGTAATTTATTAATAACATACTAAAATAAACTACTAATAATAAAAATCACTCAAAAAGACATGACTACTGTTCACATCACACGCAAACGCATCCAAATTGGATGCTCGAAGCCGACAAACAAAACAGGGAGGGTGAGGTGGCAGTGGTTTGACGGCAAATTATTCATCGACTATCCGGACAATCAGAATATCAAGATAGAGGAGGCGTTCTCTAATAATGAACACACGTTCAAAATCGACGAGTATAGGGTTATCGACTTTTCTTCAATGACACAGATCCGTATCGATTTTAGTAACAGAAGCCGGAGAATCCGCCGATACATCGACGAGGCGACTGCGAAGCGAAACGAAGCGGAGAAAATACAAAAGATGAAAGAGAAAAAGGAAGAAGAGGACCAGCTTGCTGAGCAGAAGAAGAGAACAAAATACGACTTTTTGACTAAGGTCGACATCCCGACGAAGAAAAAGAAGAAGGTGTCAACTGTGTCAACGAATAAACAAGAAGATGGCCAACACATGTTTGTTGAACCCGATATCGATGTCGTGAAAAGTGGATGTACAAATGAAGAAGAAGAGAGTCTTAAAAACGATTTAATGAAGGCTCCAAGCACATTTGAGATCACAAAATCAATCACCGAAGACAAAGACCAACTTTTCAGTGAAGAAATCGATGCGTTTCTGATGGAAGAAGACAACAAAACAGAAACAAAAGAAAAAGAGGAATTGAACAAGACGGACGGGTCACAAAAAATGGAAGAAGAGCAAGTCAATGACGATCTTCTCGAACAGTACGCAACACTGTACGACATGATTGAGTACTTGAGAACTCCCGTTTTGGGGTCTTCAACTTTTTTAATCGACAAATCTAAACTGTTTTTGAGTGGCGAGGTGATTCGAGTGATTGGAGATATCGAGCAAACAATGCAAACCATTTGCGAGGGTCTTGGTGCGCAGTTTGTGCAGAAATACTGTTCATCTGTTAATTTGTTTGTGATTGGTGCCAATCCCAAAAAGGCGTATGTTAAAAAGTGTTTTGAGAAGGGCCTACCTGTGGTGTCTATGGCTTGGTTAGACGAGTGTTTGAAGCTGCAAAAAAGTGTTGAAAAAGAGTTGTTTTTGTATACGTACTGATTGTTACATTACGATGTGTGGTGTAATGAGTGTAATACATTTTGTATTGTATTAGAAGTTGTCACGTTATGAAAGAAGAAATAACCGGAACACTAACTTATTGTTCGTGGTGGACTGTAGAGGTGATGTCTTTACTTCTTCTGTCCCCCATCACAAAGTTTCTCCCTCCTTTCTGTTCCTTCTTATCAACAGCCATTTGCCACCCCCCATATGTCGATTGCGTTTTCTTCTGCGGTGAAGGGTTTTGTGTTTGGTAGCTGTATTGCCCCTTCGTCTCATTGACTACTGGGGCAGAGAACTGTGGATAGACATTGGCCTTTGGTGCTATCTTTGGGTCCTCTTTTGTCGCAAAATAGTTCTTAGGCGCTTTCTTCTGGAATGACGAAACAATTGGTGCGGAGCCGAAGATGTTTGGTTGTCTCTGTGGTGGTTGTGGTCTTTGTAGTAATGGAGAAGTATGTTGTTGTATTTGTTGGGTCTGTTGTGGACTTTGTATTGTGTCAAGTGAAGAGCTTGACTGTGACAATTGTGGTTTCTGCATTTGTCTTGTTCTTGGCGAAGAGAAGAGTCCTTGTGACTTTTGTTTGGCTTCATTGACGAGTTGTTGTTGTTGAGTTGGTTGAGGCAGTGGGGGAACTACTTGTCCGGTCTGGTCGTTGATTTTCTCGATTTGTTTGACTTGTTGTTGTTGCTTTTCTTGTTGCATAATCAGCTTTTTATACACCGACAATGACTGAGCGGGCTTTTCAGTTGGCAATTTGATGCTTTGTTGTTGATCAGGCAGGACTTGTTCGATTTGTTTATTTGGGGTGTTCAAAGGAGACGGATCGTCTTCACTGTTGAATGATCCTTTTAAGGAATTTGCGAGTGGAGATCTTGATTTGTGAGTTGGTTGGTGGAGGCACGGCAGTATATCGAGTTCTTCTGTAATAAAATTGAGTTTTGAGGTGTTTAGTGTCTTGCAGAATTCAGTGTTAAACAACAAGCGGATTTCTCCGTGTGGATTTTTATCGTCGACGAGTGTACTAACTTTTTCAATTGCATGTCTTCGTGCGGTTTGTGATGAGTTGAGTGGTTGTGACTTCAAGAATGCGTGGACTGCGAGTCTCAGTAAAATTGGCAAAATGTCGAACCCAACGAACTGAACCAATTTAAGCGGACCGATGATTTTGTTTGAGATGACTCTCAAAATGTCGCTTCGGTCTTGTTCAATGATGATCATAAGCTTCTTATCTTCTTTGACGTTCTTTAGTTGACTTGTTTCAGACAGTATTCTCCATTCGATAACAACATCATCGCCATATTTTCTGTGTTGTGGGGTTTGGTAAATCGATGGCACGTTATACACAACAGAGAATTCTGTTGTTCTATCTGTGACAAAAGATGTTCCGTTATCGTAGTCACCTTTGAACCCAATGAAAGTGTCGGCGTTGACAAACTTTCCGATATTGTCAACAAAGTTTATGAAGAGTTCAGTATTAAGCTCTGTTTTGATAGTCACGCAGCCGGGTATTTTGGTGGAAACATTATCCAACTCAACTAAAGCGTCTAACAGTTTATCAGATACAACTAATGGCAAGAGCGCTGATCTTGAAAATTGTGTTGTGTGAATATTCATTGCAAAAAGTCTTGCAGTTGAGCAGTTAATAACGTTCGACGTCGAGTCAATTTCGTCGAAAGATGGGAGTTTGAGTGGATGTCCAATTTGTTTCGCGACTTCTATGGTAGTGAACTTCTTGACATCAAACTTGGGCTTTGTAACGTCCCACTCGTTTTCTTCGTAATAGGGCTTAGTCCCAATTTCGACGTTATTCTCGCATGTAGAGTATGGGACTGGTTTCCATTCTTCAGTGTCATCGATGTATCTTACTGTGTAACTGTATTTGTTATATAGTGTTCTGCAAATAAAGAGTACCTGTGTGAATCTATTGGTTTTAGTCCAAGGCAAATTGACATACGTCAGAATAGACTCTGAGTTATAAAACACTCTGAAGTAGTCCAACGGATTCTTCACATTATTTTTGATAAAGAGCGGTAGTAAGGACTTTTCATCGATATCAACATCCTTGAAGATAGGAGGGAGAAGGGAGTAAGAGAGTCCCGCCATAAGATCCGCATCAAATCTGTATTGACCAAGTATGTTTGTGTCTTTCGACTCGTTAAAATAGGTACAGATCTTACTACACAATCTTAGCGTTGACATCAAAACGTTTGTTGGAAGGGAGGCATAGCTTTTTGCAAACAAGAGTGCAAAGACCGACAAAAATGGGTGGATGTCTTCAGTCGTTTTAAAGTTGAGTTCGATGTAATTCGACACAACGCCAAACAACTGTTGCATAGGGATGTGTGGCACCGACAAATTGGGGATGACAAAGTACAACGTCCTGCACAAGTCGATGAAACTCAAATGTTTATTTGCGCCGACTAACAGTTGTATCCAGTTGAGTCCATTCACAGTCAACACCTTCAAGAATTCGTCCAACAAAAATTCGGGCGAGTTGTCGTCAATTTGCTTTGAGTCCGAACTTCTGCTGATGTAGTCCATAAAGAATTTATTGAAGCAGAACAACAGTGCTTCCAATGAGAATGGGTCGTTCACAATTTTCATCAGTCTAAACAAGATCAGTCGAGTCTTTTGTATTAACAATTCGTGGGTATATGGTTTGGTGCTTTTTCTTGGAATCGAAGTGATCATCATAGCACGACGCTCCGGGGAGAACGAAAATTGAATGATTTGGAGCGACGACAAAATGGCTTGGACGACTGCTTTGTTCGGCTCTGAGGTGGTTGAGTATCGTTCAAAGGCAGAGAGAAGGTTTGGATATAACACTTCGATACCTGGGAATCGCTTTTCAAAGAGTTGCTATCGATGAGTCAAACGATGTTTCCTTTGAGACAATAACAACAAAACAAACAGGGATTCTCACAAGCGTCTCAACCAAAATACTGTTATCTGTTGAGTCCAAAAACGACGCTAACATATTGAAAATGCAGACCATGTAATTCTCTTCGATTGTATTCACAAAGATGTACGTCTCAATGATCAAGAATAAAGTCTTGAGGGAGAGTAAAATAGCTTCTCTGTAATTCTGATGTGGTAGGTAGAGGACTGGGAAGCTAATAGCGTTCAAAAAGATCGATAAAATCAAGTTGACATCTGGTGGGTTTGTCAGTGTTTTGTTGAATGAATACTCCATAATCAATACAACAAGATTATAGAACCCTTCTTCTATCAATTCAAGAACATCAGGTTCTTTGATATTTGCAATATTACCCACAAAGTCTATTTATAAACCATTTGTTCGACTAATGATAATAATAATTACTATTATAATAATAATAAATAGAATGAAAGTAAACAAACGAAGGAATTGCATCCAAGTCTTAAAAAGGATTGGTGTTGTAGTTGTCAAGGAAAAATGATAGTCCTCGTTATTTAAAGACAACGTTCCACGCCCTGTTTTGGTGATGTATATGGTGTCCAAACACGTCTTTTGAATGACAACGGAGAGTTTAACCCACTCAAGAGCAACCGTACTCACATTAATCCACTTCTTGTGAAGTCTTAACACAGTTTTACATAAAGCTGGGTCTTTGTACGATTGCTCAACCCACATCTCATAAAATGTTTTGATCAGGATATTTGCAATGGGCATCATGAACATCGCATCCTCCTTTCTCCATTCAGTGCCACAAACATCTTCGACGCATCCAATGACCAACTTAAATAGTCTCGAAGTCTCCTCCGAATTGGGGTCTAACGACTTCGCAATGGTTCTTATCATGTTGACGGCTCGTTTACACAACTCGCAGTACTTTGGAAAGTGTTGGAAATACAATGAAGACTCTCTTTTGCATAACATAAGAGTGATATGGTCAAGTGCCGTTTTTCTGAATTCATTAAAATTGAGTTGGACTGGTCCCGGGGCATTTTCTCGTAACATAAACCACGATCTATATGTCATTCATTGTTTTAAAAAACAATTAAAAGACCAGACTTGTAAGCTTCGAACAAACTCGTATATATTATAACAATTCTCTATTGTCTGGAAACATTCAACTGAAAGCCGGAGCCCAGCCCCAATGACTTCCATAAACCATTTACAGTGTTCTTCAGTCGATAACGAAGACTGGAACTGTTGCATGTTCTTGAAGATATGTTCCGATATGTTAGTTATGACCGACACTTGAACTTCCTTGGACAGCACAGACAAGATGTTTGTGTGTGCGTTGAGTTGTAAAAGGCCAAGCTGTTGTGTTGTTGGTGAAAACATTGATTTTCCAGTTTTTTCGTGTTTGTTCACAGAAAAAGACTTTTGAATCGACTATCGTTTCGTTACCATTTCATCGGTTTTTCTTTGTACTTTTAAACCAAAAAAAGACTTTTGCAAGGAATTTTGTCGTTTATCAATCTAAATGCGGCTTTTTTGAAACATTTTTAGTTCTTTCTAGTTCCGCTTTGAGTTTCAAATTAAAAATAAAATTTGTCGACAACGTGAACAAGTTAATGGGTTGGTCGGGCGAACAAACGACCCAAAACAACAGTGACTTAATTCAACTCAGGCATCAATATTACCTTCAGAATCGGTAAATTGCTCGCCGATATCGTAGTGATTTCCTTTCCATTGATGAGATAACGCAACTCCCTCTGAAATAAGAACAAAAATCAAAAGTGTTGCAGAGAGAACCAAATTGTAAAACGAGAAGTGTATGATGCTAATAAACATGACGAGCAGTGCGAAAAAATTCGTGACACTGATGATGACAAACACAGTCGATACGTAACAGAACTTTTGTTGTATTTTTTTCGAGCACTTGTTCATTTGTAACGTTGTTGGGAATGAAAACAATAGCGGAAGCATGAGTCCAAGTAGTAAGAACTTTGCTCCTAATGCAATACACACCATCACACACAACAAAGAAGCGGAGTCACAAAGTTCAATTTCAATAATAGGGTCTGCCTGTGCTAGACGCGTTTTGATAATCAAAAAAATGAAATAGCAAGACACGAACGATCCCACAGATAATCCAAGACTCACCAAGAACCACAAATTTGTGAAACACGCTGAAATGAATGTAAAAACCATCACACCACACCCTATCAAACAAAATACCATCGTTGTGATGTTTAAGTTAACCACCGACTTGTACAACATCATTATAACAAGGATGGGGGCCGCAATTTGTGTAGCACAATATTTGTCGATTTTTTCGAAGTCAATGATGTCGTTTTTGGCAAGAACTTCGCTGAAAATTTCAGTCAAACTCGCTTCACTTTCCTCGAGATTTTTTTCCCCCAAATATTCAGTCGTTCCTCCCCTCTCAGTGACTAATTGTCAATCTCTCATTTTTGTGATTATGTCCGAATGGGCAGATTAATAAGCGTAAAAAAAGAGAAAAAACAAACCATGAAAAGTTATTAAAAACACAACACCAAAAATACTCAACAAAACACATTGCGCCAAATTCAAATAGAACATGTTTTTGACCTCCTTGACCATACTTATCCGTGCAAATATATACTCTATTTGTCTGTACACCCCTTTGAACAGTTCCTTCATCTTCCATTTTCAGTTCCAAAACATTTAATTCCAAAAAGATATAGTACATTATTGGTTTGTTTTTAACACTTTATAATTCAATTGACAAAACAAAACTTTCATAAGATGATGCTTAAATACGTGAAATGATGTTTATAACCCCTTGGGCGAGAACGTTTGTCTCTTCTTGAGGTCTTTAACAGTTGACTTCATTTTATCAAATGCGGATCGAAGCGCTTTGGTCCACTCCTCGTTGAGTTGTGGTGTTTGGAACGTAAGTTTATATATTTCGTCGTCAGTGGTCAGCTGGACCTTGTCGGCGTCGATTGAGAAGGAGGTCTTCGATATCCAAAGGATGTTATGGAACTGTAGTGGTTTTTGGTTGAAAATCCCTTTGGACTTTTTTGCAAAGAGAATGATATCGTTGAACAAATACATCTCGACAGTAATTCCCTTTTCGACCAATTTGATGTCAATGTCCTTCTTATTTATGTACTGATTTGACTGTTGGAACTTATTAAAATCCTTTAAAGTCATTGTCTCTGTCGAACTTTTATTTTGAACCAAATCGATCCACACCTCTGCGAGTAAAACAGTGGTAGTTGAGATGAAAAAACGGTCGGGTTGGATGAGCTGAAAGTTTGGAGGAAGGTCCTTGATTGTGCTGTCGAGCTGACTCATGAACTCGTACACTTTGACTTTCTTGGATTGTGCATTCACAAAACTTGTAACTTTCTCGATTTCTTCTAATGATTTTTTGATGTTCGAGTAGTCAACATCTTTGAATTTTGTGTGCTCAAAAAGGTCGGACAAGAGAAGTTTGTACCTTGGTAGTCGCTGAACTGGTGTGATCAAAAGTGCCAGTAAATCAAAGTTAACGTAATTAGAGGGCGCTTTTACAATTTGCTTCTTATAAAAGCATGTGAATTTCTCCGACGATTTGAGTGAAGTGACCAACTGATTTATTTTTGGATAAATCTGGCAATAGTCGCTGTACATCTTCAAGAATGGAGTGATGGTCAAAAAGGTTTTTCCGAATGTCGAGTCTTGGGAATACACATTCATCTCTCTACAAATAGTTTTGAAGAGAGTTTTGTTAATACCATATATCACAGAGATTCCATTAAAGATCAGTTCGGTCTCTTTAAGTGACAAAATGTCGGTTTGAAGTAATGGCTGGTGGATCAACTCTTCAACAACACAAAGTTGTTCAACATAAGTTCTATTGATTAGAGTGAAACAATTAACACGGTGCAACAAACTTTTCTGTTGTTATGAATTCTTTAACAACGTGCGCGCAGTGTAAATACCGTTTTTCCTCTTTTTGGTTCAAAAAGCGTCGGATTGCCTTTTGTAAAATACACGCCTGAACATTTGTATTGACTGTCTGTGATATCTTTTTGATTCTCGCGCGGGTGAAAGTATCCAACCGCATCTGTGGTGTGTACTTCTTAAAGAAGTATTCATTCGCCTCCAAAAACTCGTCGACGCTTACCTTGAACAAATAAAACAGAAACGCAATTTTTGTCTCTTTCATTTTCTTCAACTGAATTACCATCATTTTTGAACTCCATTTTCTTGCGTCACTCTCATAAGCGTATTTCACTGTTCTAAAAGGAACAATTGAACACATCTTTTCCTCTTTCGTCATCTTTGAAAAAGATCAGATGTTTTTTTTTATTATTTAACACTTTAAATAACATTGAACAAAATTCAAGTGGTCTAATAATCTGGGAAATATCGAGTTTATTAAATAAATTTCCGTTTTTTTAAGTTTATTTTATGTGCATAAACTATACACAAGCCAAAAAAAGGAAAATCATCAAAAATTGGATTAATATCCCTGGAAAAACAGGCCAAAACAAAAATAAGGGCGTTATTTATGTGTTAATTAAAAAATCATTAAAATAATTAATTTAAATAAATCCATCAAATTATTGTGTTGGGAATAATATAATATTTTATAGTTCATAAATATAAATAAAGCTTGAAATTAACAATATATTATTATTAACTAGAAAATTATTCTTACTTAAAATGAAATTAGAATAATAGAATTCTTCTAAATAAATGATTTTTGTAATTACGAGAAGAATTCCACGACTTCTTGACTTGCCTTCCCAGTCTGTTTTATGTCTCCCACCTTTTTTCTTTCGACATTTGCAACAACTGAGTTCGGATCAATTTTACCATCTTTGTCCAAGACATTTAATTTGACAACACCATTAGTATCAACTCCAACTTTAATCATAACATAGTCACCAGAGTGAATGTTTGTTTTTGCAGTGAATCTCCCCAACTCAGTCTCCTCTTCAAACAGAACAATATCGATCTCAGAATTGATAGCTTGTGCCGGGAAACTACTTTCTTTTAAAGGCAATGCTGTTCCTTTTTCCACAATCTTTGCTTTGTATACTTTCCCCCTTTCGTCGACACCTTCTAAATATAAATCCCTCGTCATCACTTCATTAATTGTAATTTGTAACGCGCCTTTCCCAAAGTCAAACGCGTACCTGCATGCACCTTTCGCCACAACCAAATTGCAGTCGATCGAATCTAACAATTTCTCTGCTCCAAAATATTCCCCCAACATCTCTCTGATCTTTGGAATCTGTGAACTTCCTCCAACAAGTATCACCTTTTTAATGCTTTTGGCACTAATATTAGACTCTTTCAATGTTTTCTTCACAACGCCCATACACCTTTCAAACAACTTCTCACACGCCGTTTCAAGGTCTTCTCGACTCAGGACAAGACCAAGTGTTCCAGCCTCCTCAGATATATCAGACAAATCAACATCGACCATCGGCAACTGCGAAAGTGACACTTTCACGTTCTCGAGGATTTTCTTCAAGTTAAACTCGCGTCGTTGTTTAATCATTCTCCGCGAACTCCCTTCATTCCCACTCTTTTTAAAAAGTCGGTTTAACAAGCCAGGGTTGATCTCTTTAATGCGGTTTTCGATCAACTTCACAAGCTCCTTGTCAACATCAAGACCACCTAAGTGTTGGTCCCCTCCGTTCCATACAAAAGTGATGTTCGTACCGGCCTTTTTCATGACAGTGGTATCAAGGGTTCCTCCTCCAAAGTCGAACGTGAAGAACAACCCATCTTCTAACTTTTCAAGACCATAACAATAAGCCGCTGCAGAAGGTTCCTGTAACACTTTTATAACATCTAACCCAGCTTGACGGGCGGCTTCAGACGTAAGTTCCTTTTGAAGGTCTTTGAAGTAAGCAGGACACGTCACAACAACGCGCATCTCATCGGTGCCCTCTTTAAATCCAAAGGAGCGCTGAATCTCCACCTTGATTTTGTACAAGATAACAGCACTGACTTGTTCTGGGCTTCGATAAATAGTTGGTCGCCCATCGTCATAGTCGATTTTGATTCGACAAAGTCCACTTTTTTCATCCTTCTCGACTTCATAAGGGAGGTATGGTAGCGTCTCTTCAAGTACAGCAGGATCGCTATATTGACATCCAATCAATCTTTTGACTTCACAGATGACGTCAAGGCTTTGGGCGCCTACGGCTCTTCTTTTGTAATTCACAACGGAAGCCATTGAATTGTCTCCATTTAAAAATGTCAAAACCTTTGCTTCTTGGCGGACCTCGTCGAAGACGAACGCTGCTGAGAATGTCGTTCCCAAGTCGATTCCGACGAAGTATGTTTTCTTACTCATGATTTTGCTTCTATTTTTTCAAGTTTGAATTGATCTCTCAAGTTCAAGACTGAATGAAGTTTAATTAGTTGACTGAAGTGATATGCAATTCAAGAAATAAATAAACTATACTTATAGTTTTTATTACCATTACTCATTAACTTTTAAAAATAGACGTATTTTGAAAAATTGGCGTCATTTGAATAAATCATTGAGTAGAACAAGAAATCCTTTTGAAAATTATTTATTTATATAACAAAGAGGGCATTTCTATAATGGGCAACACTCATTTCTTCTTCTTCCCCTTTTCCTTCAATTGTTTTGTATTCACCACTAGATTGACATACTGATGGTCATAATTCTTAAGTATCACAAGGATCTTGTCGTTACCAGACATGTAACGCGCGTTCTCAAAGCCCGACACTATCTCCGCACTTGTTGAGTTAAATACGTCTTCCGTCTCAAATGAAATGACAGTCACATACACCTTTTCCTCAAGTGCATTTGCAGTGTCTTCTTTCAGCATCATCCCCATCATATCGACTTTGTTATACATATAAGTCACTACCTCATACTTCTTCCCACTCTTCACGGATATCATGACATCGGTAAGAGTCTTCCTTTCACTCAGTTTGCCGTTCTCTAAGAGCTTTAATCCATCGTTATATACAATAGTCCACTCAGTGTTGTATTGTTTAGATAATACGTCAATATCTTCTACCATCAAATTTTCTTTGTAGACCATAACAGTGACATATCCGTCTTTTCGAAGTGCTTGCACCAACTTGAGGGGTTCAGACTTCTTTTGTTGGACAACAACCAACACGTTAATTTTTGGAGAGGCGTGTTGGATTGGTTGGACGCCATTGATCACCAAATCACACACAAAAGACATCGAGTCGTCACTCTTCACCTTCGATTGATAGAACATCCCAGACAATGGAGTGGACCCGACAGAACAATGGGACCCTTTGTCTTCTTTAATTTCTTTGTCTTCCATCTCCTTCCCTTTCTCTATTTTCCTTGATGAAGTACTCTTCACTTTATTCAGCCCAGAGTCTTCTTTAAATGAAGAGAAGTGTCCACTCGAGTGTGAAGCTTCGAGAGACTCTCTAACTCCTTCACTCTTAAATTTGAGGGGTTGGGTCTCCCCTTTCGACTCGAGTGGTCCAAAGATGTTGTTCTCACGTTCTTGCTCAAAAGGAGTATCGACCATTGAGGCAAAACCAACTACTTTCCCATCATTCAAGTTGGTTATAGAACACAAGAAGCTGTGCGGACATGACGATACGCTTTTACACTCTTCACAGAAGACATCAAAACACAAGAAGCTTTCATCGTTGTTGAGCAGGGACGATATTCTATTTTCAGTAATTGTCTCTCTCAGTGTTTTTAAGAAAGGAAATCCTCTCATGTACTCCAACAACTGTTTTGTTTCATTCATTTTCAAAATGTTTTTCAAAATCGGTTGAGTCACGGAGAGTCGAGTCAGTTGTGAATACAAATATTGATACGGTTCATGGGGATTAAAATTGATTTTAAACACTTTAGCCAACTCTATTAAGTATCCCGGGAAGTTATAATGCAAAGCGTATGCCACGCCATCCGTCATTGAAAGGATTGAACGCGACAAAAATAACGTTTTCATCAGTACATCTGAAAAGTAGTTTCTGTCACTATTTGTGCACGACAGTTGTATTCCGTACGACTTCTCTTTGAAAAATGGTGAGAAAATGAATGACGATTGGTCTTCGCAGATAACAGAAGATGTTGATATGACAAACTTGTATAAGCACCCATTCGACGATAAAAAGAGGTTCTTTGATTTATACAGTGGGGTTGGTTTAATATTGTCGCCAGCTATAAATACGGTATTTTGAAGAAATAGATCGTCAATTGAAGTTAAAAATGGTTTGAACTCATTAATAGGTTCACAGCACAGTTTTTGTTGAGTGAAGTACTCTGACACGGTAAAGAGATATGGTTGCTGTTTGAGTAAAGTCGTCAGAATTTGTCGAGACTTTTGATCGGAACACAACACATACGAAAAGATCTCTTCCGAGGTCTTAGCTTTCATAATGTTTTGAGTCTCTTGAAAGACACTTTGCATACGAAGAACTGTTCTGTCTGTTTCAGTTTCCTTTGGAAATGGAATTTGCATGAAGAAGCATCCAAAGAGTAGAAATAGTCTTTTCAAAGCGGAAATGTCTTTTAGAACAACTACAGACTGCGCCGAGACTAAATCAAAAAAAGCGAGTCGAATGTCGTTGTCTTTGATAAAAATGTGTTTCAATGAAAGTGCACCATGTCCGATGTTCTGTTTGTGGAGATTATAAATGGCACTCACTATTTTGAAGTACATTTCTCGGATTGTGTTCTTTGAGCTACACTGTTTAGTGTCTTGAAAGAATGAACAGAGGGGGGTTTCACTAATAGACATACGAACCATTAACGTCGGTTGACTAAAAAAGTAGTATTGAAAGTACTTCGAGTGCACTTGGCAGAACCTTGAGAGTCTCGTCTTGACTTCAGAAATCACGTGTGTTTGCATAGCAGACAAATCGATATCTTGAAAACAATAAAACTGCCCATCGCATTGTCTGTAATATGCTGAAAACCCTATTTCCTTTGATATCGATTTGACTTCTTCATATTCGCCGTCTAACTCAAATTTCGTCGAACACGAACTCCTTGAAGGAATAAGTCCTGAACTTTTTATTAAAGAACTTAATTCAATGGATTCGTGTGTTTTCAAGCTTTGAATGAATGAAGTGAGTTGAACGCTTGGGTTAACTCCAGCCAAATTGTTTTCAAGTAAAGCCGCCAAATCGCACAAGTCCTTTTTCAAAATCAAAAGAGACATCTGCTCGGTTTCAGGAAAGCAGTTTCCATCAAGCAAATACAACACACAGAAGTCCGCCAAAACAACACTTTTTGTACTCGACAGAATAACACAGTTCTTCGTTATTTTGCCGTGAAATAGGCCATGCACATATAAGTATTGTAACCCTTTTAATACCTGACGAATTGGTGTTGCGACGTCGTCCATCTTAAAAATATCATCGAAGAGTGAAGACCCGACACTTCGTCTCATAATCCACACCTCGTCATTATAGATTCTCATTGTTGTGTACTGCTCTATATATTTCGAGTTGGTGCTCTTCAGTATTTCGACAATTTTCTCGATCAGTGAAAACGAGTTGAGTGTTGTCGAAATCCGTATTGTGTTATAGTGGAAGTCTTTCCATATGGTGACGCACTCCGTGTAATTTTTCGAGGTGCGAATTTCTTGTGATGTGTCGATAACGGGAATTTCGTCAAATCGTTCTAATCTGTCTAACACACTTGTTGGCGTTTGGTGCTTTTCCCTCCACTCACTGACTTTTTCTTTTAAAAGGGTGTACAACGTATAAAAAGGAGAGACCTCTTCCAAAAAAGTCTGTGCGTTAGATAATTAATAATATAGTTAAATTATAATAAAAATATAGTTAAAATGTATATAACAAACCTTGAGTGTTTCTGTCATTTCCTTTTGAAAACTATCAAACGCCATGAATTGGGATAAAGCAGTTTGCTCAAGCTTTGCAGTGTAATAAGGTTCTGAGTCGGATTTTGTAAATATAAGGTTGATGGACCAGCTCGGTGTTGTTTCATCTTCAATTAACGTTTGCCACTCTTCTTCAGATATTTTAGTAACAGCGCTCTTATGGTTATTTTTGTATTTCGGTGGATTATAACAAACGTCGAGGATATTCAGATAAACTTCTAGTTGCTCATTTAAGTCCTCTGCTGTCATACAATTTCATAGTTCAATTTTTCAATAATGAGTTATTATGTTGTAATTGTGCATTGTATTTATAACATTTTAATAACAATTTTTTTTCAATGACGATGAAAAAAATGAAAGATTTATTTAATTTTTTAAGAAATAACTATTATAGTATTTCAAATTATTATTAATAGAATATATTATTAATTATTTGTCTATTGTAAATGTGCCATTTTTTATACTATTAGTCAACTATAGTAAATCTTAAACAAGAATTAATGGTAATAAATTTTGTGTTAACTTTACTTGTAATTATTAATAATAAAAAAATAGCAATTCAATAAATGAGATTTATCAAAATCAGTAAAATAAAGTCAAAACAAAAACTTCATAAATTGAAATAAATTGGGTAATTAATAAATTAATAGTATTAGAAACTAAATAAATAGTAAAAACAAAACTTCAATCTCGAAATAGAACACATACCAGAAAGAAAAGAGAGTTCGAATAATTTAAAAGTAATTAGAACTAGTAACCTTAAATAAATGGCAGAGAAGATAGACGAGGCTGTCTTAAGTCGCCAATTATACACAATTGGTAAAGAGGCGCAAATGCGTATGCTCAGCACTCGTGTGTTGATTGTTGGGTTAAGTGGGATTGGATGTGAGATCGCCAAAAACGTGATATTGATGTCCGTCAAATCGGTGGGGCTTTTGGACAACACAAAAGGGGGTCTTAAAGAGGTCGGTAACAATTTTTTCTTTTCTGAGTCTGATATCGGAAAAGTAGTAAGCGCCGCGACTGTTTCAAAGTTCCAAGAACTCAATCCAAGTGTATCTGTTAATGCAGAAACGCGTGAGTTGAATGACGAGTCACTTTATTCGAACTATGACATTTTGGTGTTGACACAATTATTGGGGGAAAAGGAGTCAATCATCGTCAATGAGAACTGCAGAAAACACAACATCAAAATGGTCTACGCAGTTAATAGAGGTGTCTTCTCTATGATCTTCAACGACTTTGGAGACAACTTTGTCGTGAGTGACACTAATGGAGAGAACCCAAGAAGTTTCATTATCAATGAGATCGTCGACAATTCAATCAACTTCATCGAAGACGACTTTTGCAATATGGACGTTGGAGACGAAGTTCGATTTGATGAGATTATTGGAATGGACGAGTTAGACTATTCTAAAAATGGAGGAAAGACCTTCAAGTTGACAAAGAGAACTGGGTACGCTGTCGAAGTTGGTGATCTGTCGAAATATACCAAATACGTGAAGGGAGGGAAGATGACTGAAATCAAACCATTAGTCACTCTTCACTACAAGCCATTGAAAGAACGACTTACCGACCCTGGAGAGATCGCATTCAGTTGTTTGACCAAATTAGACAGAATGAATTTGATACAGGGACTTTTCCATGGTTTGATGGTCTTTAAAGACAAGTTTGGAAGCTTCCCAAAGTCGCACTGTGAAGAGGACTTCGCCAAGTTCAGCGAAATTTTGAAAGAACTTAAAATTGAAGGCGACGAAAAGATAGAGAAGATCTTCTGCTTCACAAACAATGGAAACATATCGCCAATAGACACTGCGTTGGGCGGAATTGCAGCACAAGAGGTACTAAAGGCTGCAAGTGGGAAGTACACTCCTTATTGCCAATACACTGTGTTTGACTGTTTAGAGATCATTCCAGACAACTTTTTTGAAATGAAGAAGGAGGAGTTTGAAAGCAAAGAGTCGAGATATTCGTCACAAATTGAAGTTATTGGAAACGCTCTGCAAAAGCAAATTGCAGACATCAAGATGTTCTTGGTAGGTGCTGGTGCAATTGGGTGTGAAGTGATAAAGACGTGGGCGATGATGGGTGTTGCCTCGGGAAATGGCGAGATTTATGTGACGGACAATGACAACATCGAGAAATCCAACTTGTCGAGACAGTTCTTGTTTAGAAATAAGCATGTCGGCATGCCAAAATCAAAGGTTGCGAAAGAATCAGTTGAAATTATTAACCCCGACATTAAAGTCAAAGATTTCCAATTGAGAGTTGGGCCTGAGACGGAGAACATCTTCAATGTTAAGTTCTACAAACAACTTAACTGTGTGACAACTGCATTGGATAACGTCCAAGCAAGAAACTATGTCGACTCACAATGCTTGTTGTACACCCTCCCAATGATAGAAGGAGGAACTATGGGGACTAAAGGAAACACTCTGACTGTTGTCCCATTTGTCACACAATCATTCTCTACTGGAAGCATTCATGAAGCACCAGAGAAGAGTATCCCAATGTGTACATTACATAACTTCCCAAATAACATCGACCATACCATCCAATGGGCTAGAGACAGATTCGAAGGACTCTTTAAGAGCGATATTGAACCTGTCGAAAGTTACAACACAGACAAAAACAAGTTCTATGAGAACTTGGACAAGGAAACACCAAACAACCAGATCAACATTTTGGAATTGGTGATTGATAATGGAAATGTGCACGCACCAAAAGACATGAAAGACTGTGTTGAGTGGGCATATGGAAAGTATCAGAACTACTTTGTTAATTCAATTCACAAACTTGTCACAGACTTCCCAGAGAACGCAGTGACCAACGAGGGTGTACCATTCTGGCACGCACCAAAGAAATTCCCACACGTCGTCCCATTCAATAGAAATGAAGAGTTTTGTGTTGGATTTGTTGAGGCGGCAGCTCTTCTTCGAGCGGAGTGTTTTGGCATCAAACAGAACATGACAAAAGACGAGATGTGCGACATTTGTGAAAAGAGTGGAATAACTCCACAAAACACGGCAAATAAAGACGAAGAAAATTTGATGGAAGTTGTCAAAGCACTGAAAGAGAAATTGGAAACATTGAAAGTCACACCCGTCCACTCACTTGTGTTCGAGAAGGACGACGACACCAATCACCACATCGCTTTTGTCACCGCCTGCAGTAACTTGAGAGCAATGAACTACTGCATCGAGCCTGCCGACTTCAACAAGACCAAATTCATTTCAGGAAAAATCATCCCCGCCATGATCACAACAACCGCAGTCGTTTCTGGACTCCAGTGCATTGAGTTGTACAAGATCTTGCTTAAGAAGCCATTCTCGTGCTACCACAACTCCTTCTTGAACTTGGCAATTGGGTACTTGGACTCAACAGAACCAGAAAAGGTTGTAACAAAGAAACTTTGCGAAGGAATGGAAGTGACGATTTGGGACAAATTTGAGTTCAATGGGAATTGCACGATGCAAGAGTTTGTCGACCTCATATTCAAGAAGTTCTCTGTGAACGTCGAGAGTGTCACTGTTGGTGTCAAAATGTTATACACATCATACTTACCTACCGGAAAGGCTAGACTTGGGAAAACAATCAAAGAGATATACAAGGAGTTGTTTGGAGAAGACTTTAAAGCAGAAGCTATGACACTTGCCCTCACTGTAACAGACAAGAATGGAGATGACTTGCCCGATGATGTCGAATTCCCAGACGTTATATTGACGTTCTAATTAACTAAAACACAATTACCTTGGTTTATACACATTTTAACAATTCAATTATATTCGCTTTTGTTACAAAATAATGCTAATTTATCTTTTTAAAGATATCAAAAAAGGGTGTGGCTATTGAAAAGAATTTATTTTTTTCAATAGCATTAATTTTAATTACTTATTCAATAAGTGTCTGAGTGAACAGATTAAGTACAAACAAACCCAAAACTATATTTTGAACAATTAATTATTGATACCTTGCTTGGAAAGAAGTGTGTAACAATTCATGTTGCTCGTGTTTGTTCATATGAGCATCAATCCATCCAAGAACATCAGTATTTTCAGAAGCTACAGCAATGTCAGTTTCATGGTCGAGTCGATCCAACTCAGCAGTTCTCTTGACAACATCGTTCTTCTTCGCTGGTGGAATCTTTGGCTGTCCACCACCACATTGGCATCCATTAACGCATACCATCATCTCAACAACATCAACACCTTGCATCTCATTATTTTTCATCATTTCACATGCTTTGTGAATTGCATGTCCTCCGTGGCAAATAACACCAACTATTGTACTCTCTCCAATTTTGATTGTCAACTTGTTCATTGCAGACCCAGAAGCAGCGTCTTTGAACATCTCTTCAGCGACAATTTTAGATGGATCCCACTTCTCTCCAGCATCTTTCACTAACACTCTGAGGACTGTCTCAGCGACACCAGCACTCTTTGCAAAGATGTTTGATCCTCCTGAAATTCTTCTGAATGGCAAGTCACACTGCCCATCATCGGTTTTGCTCAAAGCAGCCTCTTTTTCTTCAGTGAATTTGAGCTCCTCGGCTGGCAAGTTCTTCTTGAAGTATGCAGCAATTTCGTTGGTGGTGATAGCAGCATCATAGTCTTGGTGCAAGTTGGCCCTTTGAGACTCGACTTTCTTAGCAACACATGGCATAATACCAACGGTGTATACATCTTCTTTTGCAAGTCCGACATCCTTGGCCCATGCGTTTTTGACAAGGGAAGCCAAACATGCGATTGGTGATCTAGCAGTGGAGACATGTGGAATGAGTTCTGGGTACTTCTTTTCAAGGTACTCCATCCAACCTGGGCAGCATCTAATTGTGAACACTGTTGTATTGATCTTTTACTCTTTGGATACCTCAATAATTGCACAAAAACAAACGATGTAATGGCAGGGCCTTTACCCTCTTTCTTGAGCTCGACAACTTCTTCAAGATCGTCCATGGTGGTCTTGTCAGCAGCTGAGTTGATATCAAAGACATAATCAAATCCAACAAGTCTCAAGCAGTGAACCAATTGGTGGAGGGCTTGTGAACCCATTGGCAATCCAAATGCCTCAGCAATACCAATACGGGTGGCTGGAGCAATCATGGCGACAAGTTTCTTGCCGGCAGCTTTAGCCTCAAATGTGCGAGTGATGTGGTCGACTGGAGTAATGGCTCCGAAGTTACAGACGTTTGAGCATTGACCACAGCCGACGCAGTCAGTCTCTTCAATCAAAACTCTTGTGGTGTCGGTGTTGTCCACAGTAACATCCTTTCTGTTTGGTTTGATGAATGGGGGGATTTTTGGGCCTTGCTTTTCTAAAACGCCGTAACAGCATTTTGTGGTACACATTGAGCAACCAAGACACTTTGAGAAGTCGATTACAATAGCATTGTTGTGGTTGTCGGGTGTCTTGACGTTGTGTGCTGGCTTTGGTGGCATTTTCTAAATCAGTCAATGTTGCTTCATTTAAATAGCAGAATGGCGAGAACCCTTTTTTGTTATTTTTCATATCGTTGAAATGAATTAGAAATCGATTTTGGAAGCCATTCGACTCTTCTTATTTTTTCTTTTAATTATATTGATTTATTTGTTATTTCTGGCATACCCTAGATTGTTTAAAGATATCTTAGTCATTTTTTCTTTATATTTCAACTAATTTTGTTTATTAATTTTATTAATCATTATATTAAGGCAAAATTCTCTTTTTGGTAGTTTTCCAAAAACAATTCGGCTTTTTATTTTTGCATTTTAAAGTCCGTTTTACCAAAAAGAAAAGGTTTGTTGTCTTAACTCTCCTTATTTTGATATTTTTTCGAATAAAAAGGGTTTCCTCTATTTGAATAATTGCAAAGAGCGTTACAAACCATATAAAAGCTAGTTATTGTAGTTAAAATATGTGTTTATAAAATGGCAAATAGTTTTTTTTAAACACAATTTCGAGTTTGAACTGAAAAAACAATCCCGAACTATCAGCAAATGATTTAGTGCAATAAATATTCTACTCTCTATTTATATAGAAATTGCAAACACAAAAACGGACTTTGCAATTCTTAAATTAATAAATATCGTTAATATCCCGGTTTTTATGTGGATTATCCCGAAGTATGGGAAGATCTTTTGTTCAAGTTGCGAACTCATCAAAAAGGGAGTTTGAGGGTTTTTACTGGTTTGCAACTTCTTATACATTACAATGCCACCTAAACCATCACACTCAGTCACTGGAACAGATCACAACGACTCTATTAGCGTCGATTGGTCCAAGTGCCTTGGCTGCCAAATGTGCACCACAAAGTGCACATTTGATGTTCTTGAGAAAGGAAAGCCAAAGTGCCCACCACAAGTCCACGCGACACGACCCAATCCAGAAAAAGAAAACACCGACACCACAAGAGTCTTGTTGAAAGACACTGACTGCGTCGGCTGTGGTCAATGCACATCTGCTTGTAACTTTGGTGCCCTCAAGCCAATTGATCCATTTGACGCCATCATGGAGGCAAAAAAGAACGGAAAGACTTTAGTTGCTATGCTTGCGCCATCCACCCGTCTTGGTGTTGCCGAGTGCATGGGCATGCCGATTGGAACAACTGCTTTGGCCCAATTAGTCTTGTCCTTGAGAAAGATTGGATTTGACTACGTCTTCGATGCAGACTACGCTGCTGATAAGACCACTTTTGACGACCATGCTGAGATCATGGAGATGAGAGAAAAGCAATGTGGACCAGCTATTACATCGTTTGTTATATTTTACTTTAGTTGACCTTTATTATTAATATTACTGTATAGAACTATCCACTAATGATTAGATGCTGCCCAGCTTGGATTGAATTGCTCGAGAAAGAGTACCCAGACTTGATCCCACACGTCTCTACTGCCAAATCACCAATCGCTTGCCTTGCTGCTTTCGTCAAGAGAGCGTGGGCTAAGGATGTCAAACTTGAACCAGAGAATATTTACACTGTTGGTATTATGCCATGTGTTGCTAAGAAAGTCGAGGCTGCTCGTCCACAACTTCATCAGGACTATGACGCGTCTGTCACCTCTGTTGAGGTCTCCAATTACTTCAAAGCCCACTTAGCAGACGAAGACAAGAAATTCACTGAAGCCAGAGAAGTTGAAGTTGAAAAAACAGAACAAGGACTTTGCGATTTGCCATTCAGAAAGATTTCAGGAGGATCAAACATCTTTGGAAAGACCGGAGGAGTTGCTGAGACAGTCTTCAGAGTCATTGCCAAGAATGCGGGAGTTCCATGGAATGAAGTTAAGATCACTAAAGAGGAGATGTTTAAGCATGCAAGTGGATCGACAATGACAAAAGTTGTAGTAGACCTCAAGGGTACCATTGTGAATGGTATTGTATGTCACGGTGGCTTTGCTACTCGTAAGGCATGTGACATGGTAAGAAGTGGCGAGTTAACTTCTAAGAACTGTGACGTCATCGAGATTATGGCGTGTCTTGGAGGATGCCTTGGAGGTGCAGGCCAACCAAAGATACCCCCAGCGAAGAAAGCTGAGATGGACAAGAGACGAGTCAAGTTGGATGACTTGGATGAAAAAGCCGAATTCAAAGTAGCCAATGAAAACACAGACATGTTAGAGTTTGTCAAGAGTCATTTTGATGCTCATAGTGAACATGAGCATTTGCACACATTCTACAAGGCTCGATACGAAAAATAAGTGAATCTTTCACGTTCTTCAATTCAAGTTTTTTGAATAGTTTCAATTGTTTTAAATACAAATGAAATGAACTGAAATTAAAGAAGAGTTGTTATTTCAGTGGTTTGCTTAACTGTTGTAGTTTGGTCTAAATAAGCTCTTTCCTCTTTTTTAGTATCTATTTGCTCGGAGTTCTTTTTCAACTTTTGTGCATCAATATCAATAAGGGTATCACCTTCGATATTTGGCTTCACTAATTTGCCATTGTCGATCTCTACGTCACGTTCAATAAGTTCTGCAACTGTTTTAATGAAATTGTCGACGTCGTCGTTTCCCCAGTTCTTGAAGATTTTCTTTCGCAAAAACTGTCCAATGAGGAATTGGTGCACGTCAGGAGACTTCGTTCGGAAGTTCACGTTGACTCGTCGCCAAGGAAGTTGATTCAATTTCTCGACCATCTTTTCGTATATGACACAGCCGTCCTTTTTCTCTTCAATGACTTCCCCTTGTTGTGGTTGAAGAATATATTTCTTCTCGCACCCATCTATGATGTCAGTGTAGTCCTTTGCAAAGTCAAATCCGTCAACAAAGTATTTGTCTTTGTAAAATTCTCTGTCATAAGGAATAGCGCGATCCAAAGCAGCCGAGACGTATGGGACTTGGAATGAAAATTTGATATTTTGTATCAACGTGAGGTGTTTGAAAATTTTCAGTGCGTTGATATATTCGTCTTCAACCATTCTAAATAAGAGAGGAAATTCATCAACGAATTTTGGGTCGTATGGTGGGTATGGGCGGTCTGTTAGTTGAAGTTCGTTGATTGTTTGTCCCGAGAACATCGAGTTTGAGACCGTCTTAAAAATGTCATCAAAGCCACCATTATTGTCTGGCTTTTTCACGCCAAGGTGTGGTGTTTCTAATGTCAAAAAGCTCTAAAAGTGAGCAAATGAATACGAGCTTTGAAGTTTAACTTGTGATGAGAAAGACAAACAAATGGAATACAAGTGCTATTGAAAACACCTCTTTTAACCAATAAAGGTATAGCTTGACGTAAGTAAAGACCTCCCAATGAGTGACCGATTAAATGTATTCTGAACGTGCATCCCGTTCGACTCTCTTTTTCATCTTTCATCTCTTGACATACTTCATTCGCAACACGAAGACCGCCAACGACAATGCCATCTGTGGTCTTGTTGCTATTTGCTTTGACGTATTTCTTTGTGTTATTGATGTGTTTTGAAAAATACTATAATTTAAGAGTTAACAAACAATCACACAATCTGAGCCTAATTTCTTCTCAAGAGGTGTTGAAAAATTGATCCACTGTTCTTGTGCGTTTATCTCAATGTTAGACAGTCCGTGGACCAAAAAGATCATATCGATCGTTTTATTGCTTCCTGACGCCATCTTGACTCCTTTCTTTTTTAGTCTTTTTCTTTAGTTCTTATTTTAGTTTATTTTCTTTTTATTTAATTGGATAGTACAAACAATTATATTGTTATAACATCCAAACTTCGATTTTTATTATATTTTATTAATTGGATATACTAGTTATTATCTAGTTTCATTTATACTATTGACTAATAAAATATATTTAAATTATTAATAAAATAATTTTTTTTTATTAACAAAAGTTATTACCACTTTAGTTGACTAATTCTGCTAGTAATTTTCATTGCTATTTCTCTTTGAAACAATCAATACCATAGAATATAATTATATTTATATATAAAATAGTAACAACATTTTATTAAAAAAGAGCTAAAGAAGGAAAGGAATTTGCCTTTTTTGTAAATGCCCCAAAAATGTTTTTACGTGTACCTATCAAAAGATACAAAACTATACATGTGTTATAAAAAGAAGTAATTGAATAGAAATTAAATCGGCAAAAAGTAGACAGTTTTTATTATTTTTAGTATTAGTGTTTGATTCGACGGACTGTCTGTGAACCAGACACTTTCAATCTCCCAAAACTCAAACAGACTATAATGCGCCTTTTTGTCAATGTCTGGATACTCCTTCGAAACGTGTTTTTCCTCTACCTCTGCGTCATTGGTCTTCGTTTGTTTCGCATGAGTTTTTAATGTGCTTTGACTGACATACAGTCACGCTTCTAACCGGGCTCTTACACTTCACAAACAACAAACCTGAATCCTTTCAAATCAGTGGTTTGAATACAAACCCTACACTTGCAGTGATGTTGGTTGCGATTGTGTTAGTTGTGAATGGGATAGTCACCATTTTAGTTTCGGGATTTGCGATATTGCACTCGGTACAGTTTAACAACATGATAACCGAAAATGGTGTAGCGTGTGCCATTTGGTTTTTCATATTAGCGTGTCTTTCTTTTTTCATGACAGGGATATTCGGGTTGATAACAAGTCTCCTCTGTTTAATTTCAGGAGGGCTTTTTGCAGTAGCTTTAGTGGTGTGTCATTTCTCTTGTGTCTCGGACACCCCCACCATAAAGACTGAGCAAGACGCTAATTAATTGTACATGGACGTTATAGTTCTTATTTAGTTATTTTTTATTCTATTTTAAGGGAGAACCCCTTTTCTCTTTCTATCTCTCTCATTAATAACTATAAAAGTGCTCTTAATAATATAAAGTGTTATACTTTTTAGAAATTTCAAAGGCAAAGCTTACAAACAAAACCTCAATTAAAAAAACGTCACGCGGTCTGGCTGTCCTCACAAATTGCTGATGGGATTATTAGGGAAGACCACTGGTCAAGCTTCTCGTGATCTTTTCTTTTCCTTTTCTCGGAAGGCTCGATGAAGTCGTTGATCTTCCGAGTCTGTGGGAAGACACACTTGTCGTGATAACATTTTCTACACACTGCACAATACTTTTCAGCACCACCTATGACTTCAACACTCTCTTCTTCTGTCGTTCGCATCGAGAATGAAGCTTTGTTGCCACAAAACACACAGACTGCTCGGAGCTTCCGGACACTTTCACATAAAGGAACGATGTCGGTGATCTGCCCAAATACTTTTCTCTGGAAGGTCCCATCAAGTGCAGCTATAATCACACGTTTTCCATAGTCCGCCATTAACTCGGAGAACTCGAGTAAGTCGGGGAAGAATTGCCCTTCATCAATCCCTATAACATCATAATGAAGTGCTTCTTTGACACACGGCATCAATTCCATCGTGGGAATCGCTTCCCACTTCTCTTGATCATGCGAAACAGCTTCATTGACTTCGCCATACCTCACGTCCTTGGTGTACTTCAAGATCACTGTCCGCTTCTTCGAGACTGTAAACCGCTTGATGAGGCGGATTAGCTCCGTCGTCTTTCCAGAAAACATTGGGCCCATAATTAACTGGATGGAGCCGTCGTACGTCTTCTTCATGTCATCTTTTTGAACAACTGGGCTAAGAAGGACTGTTGTGTCGATTTCCATTGTGAAATTTTCGAGTTGAAGAAACCCTTTTATGATGAAAAGGGTTCGATGGTTTTCTTTAATCGCGGAAATTGTGGGAGAAACGTGCCTAATTATGGCAATTGGATTTGACCAATCATTTCTTCTCTTTTCAATCTCTTTTTTTATTGTTGATATATTTTTGGAGAGCAATAACTAAAGGAAATTATACAAATTGTAAATAAAACAGAATCAATGTTTCATAATAGGGACATTTGTCCATATTTTTGCGGGAAAATCACGCAAAGAATAGAACAAACTCACTACCAAAAAAGTGATAGAAGAAAAAGGAATTATCCAAAAAGAGAAGAAACGTCAAAAGAAATTCCGTGAAAGAAAAAACAATTACAATTACACTTTTGGGTTGACAAAATAATATTATGTAAAAAAAAACTTAAAATATTTGTTTGTAAGAACCAAAAATGTTTTTTTTCAATTTAAACAAATGTTTAAATTTCTTATTATTCGCGAGAAATGTTTCAAATAACAAAACAACGTTAGAACATTTTATAACAACCCCAATCACATTTAGTAATTAAAAGTACAAATGTATTAACATTTCTTTTAGTGTTGTTGTACTAACAACTTAAAATATAAAGAGTTAAAATATCGTTATAATGATAATCAAATAGAATAATTTTTTTACCATATTTTTAAGTGAATTATTTAAAAAAGTGATACTCGCTGGTTGTTGTATCAGTATGTGTTGGTGTTTTTAATCATAATTATAACAGATCAAAAACTAAAAAGTTTGAGTTTAAGAAGTTTGTTATGTTTTCCAATTAACTAAGTTTGTTTTTTCTTACTTACTAGTTACATATGGATTTGGTTGCATTTTTAATTCATTATTATTTTTTAATGTTAAAAATAAAGTTATTTATGTCATTTGATCACAAAATTTGTTGAAACTTAAATCTCAGCGGAGATAAGAAATTGGAGAAATGATAAACAAAACCGAAAATGTTATTATATTTGAAAAATATATAATTGGTGTCATTATATAATAATTCCAAAAGATAATGTAATTTTATTTATCTCAATTTTCAAACTGTTGACTTCAAAAATTAAACATCAAATTATTGTTCATCTTATGTGTATGACGTTATTAGACATTTTTATTCTAATAATTCATTGAAGTAACAAATTATACAAAATGTTTGAATCAAATTTTTTATTAAAAAAAAATAATTATTCAATAATAACTTAATTATCAAATAATAAGGTGATTAAATGACAACACCATTGCGAATAGGTGATCAAATTATAATCACAATGAATAGATTTTGACTTATTAAATACAATAATGTTTCAATTATCTTATGTGATTCAAACCAATAATAAAAGATTAACTTATAATAATTTAATAACTTATTATATTTATTTATTTTTATTCAATAATTCTTTTTTTTTAATTATTTCAAAAAACAATTGTTTAACTTTTAAACAAATAAAATTATTATAAATAAAATTAAACACTTATTATAAATAATACAGTAGGGGGAGTGAGGGGCTTGACGATACTGAGGTACTTGACC